TTCCATCTGCTGATTCACTCCACAGATGGCCGCAGTGGCTGGAGTTGTGCCGATCCAAAGCCAGGAGCTTCTTCTGGTTCTCTCACGCAGGTGGGGGGTCCCAAGGATTTAGATCATCTTCTACTGCTTTCTCAGACCATAGCAGAGAGCTGGATTAGAAGTGGAGCATCCAGGACTCGAACTGGCACCCATATGGGATGCCAGCACTACAGACAGTGGCTTTACCTGTTACGCCACAGTGCTAGCCCCATGAATAATTTTTTTAAAAGATATATTTATTTATTTGAAAGTCAGAGTTACACAGAGAGAGAGGCGCAGAGAGAGAGAGAGAGAGGTCTTTCATCCACTGGTTCACTCCCCAAATGGCTTCAATGGCGAGAGCTGGGGTGATCTGACTGGAAGCCAGGAGCCAGGAGCCTCTTCTGGATCTCCCATGTGGGTGCAGGGGCCCAAGGACTTGGACCATCTTCCACTGTCTTCCCAGGTTACAACAGAGAGCTGGATCAGAAGTGGAGCAGCTGTGACTTGAACCAGCACCCTCAAGGGATGCTGGCACTGCAGGTGGCAGCTTTACCTGCTATACCACAGAGCCAGCCCCTGCAATTTAATTTCTATATAGGCACTCAATGAAAGTTATGAGTAAAATAAAACTTCTTTTTTTTTTTATTTTTTATTTTTTTTTTATCTTTTATTTAATGAATATAAATTTCCAAAGTACGTCTCATGGGTTACAATGGCTTTCCCCCCCATACCGTCCCTCCCACCCACCACCCTCCCCTTTCCCACTCCCTCTCCCCTTCCATTCACATCAAGATTCATTTTCGATTATCTTAGTATACAGAAGATCAGCTTAGTATACCTTAAGTAAGGATTTCAACAGTTTGTTCCCACACAGAAACATAAAGTGAAAAATAATAGATGATTTTTTTTTAAATGATGATGAAATCAGATCAGACCTATTGTCATGTTTAATCCCAGTGAGAGTCAAGTTGGGAATTGATAGTATCTTTTCTTTTCTTTTTTTTTTTTTTTTAACAGAAGATCAGTTTAGTGTACATTAAGTAAAGATTTCAACAGTTTGCACCCCCATAGAAACACAAAGTGAAATATACTGTTTGAGTACTCGTTATAGCATTAAGCCTCAGTGTACAGCACATTAAGGACAGAGATCCTACATGAGGAGTAAGTGCACAGTGACTCCTGTTGTTGACTTTACAAATTGACACTCCTGTTTATGGCATCAGTAATCCAAGGGGCTTCCATAGCCTTAAAACTTCTTTAATTCAAATTTTTTCTTGTGTGACAAGTTGCCCTCATTATTTGCCCCATTACTATTGCCCTCATTATTTGCCCCATTACTATCTTGTTTACTAGTCCTAATACTATATTTAAAATAAAGAAAAAAACATTAAATCTAAAGTACTCATCATGTTTTTAAACATTTACTTGTTCTGTTGTTTCCCTAATTAAATTGAAGTTGTTATTTACTCACTCATCTCACAGATTAGCACATCATAATTAGATAGCCTTTCAGAATATTTAATCTTTACAACCTTCGGATTGTGTTTACAACTTATGTCAAGCACCTTTCTTTCAATATAAATGCAGAATTACAAAGGAATGTAAGTTAATGTAACTGTACTTACACTAGTTTTTTTTTTCTCCTAGAAACCAAGGTCATGTGTCTTGATTTGTTGGATTACTATGGCAGCACCCCCCCACCCCCCATCCACATGTATCTTTGTCTTTCTCATGCCATTTAGATACTCCCAGAACTCTAGGTCCACCTTCTCAAATATTGATGGTCAAAGTTTTGGCCTGTCCTTCTACCCTTCTTTGGGTAGAAGGTATCCATATCCTCTTTAAGAAACTTCTGTCACTTTTAATTCATGTGGTGTCATTGCCTGGGTTTATCAATTTCTGGGTTCCTCAGAAATCAGAACCTGAAGCAAGTGGCTTATTTGCTTCTACTTCATTCAGAAGAGCGTGTCAGGAAGCAGGGGTACAGGACAGGTGAGCCAATATGAGAATGTGCCACCAAGCCATCCTCCATAAGCCACTTAAACAGTGCTCTTGGGAGAGTCTTTCTTGGAGGAGGAAGAGGAGAATGTATTCATCAGCTTCCATTTCTCTTTGGTCAAAGCTTTGCTGAAGATTACACGACTAGAGTGGTGGGTCATAGATTCAGATACAGGCTGTCTGGTTCCTGAGCCCAAGCTCTTAGCCATTTCACAGGATGCTCAGAAGAATGTTACACAATGATAGGTAAGTATAAAGTAGAAGCAAGGATAGGGAGAAGGAAGTGTTGGGGGAGGAAGGAGGACAGCTACATTGAGGTGATACATGACCAAATACCTGAAGAACAAGCAGACTTCTAGGGAAAGAGCATGTGAGGAAATGCAGAGAATTTGAAATAATGTGTTTGAGGACCAGTGAGGTAAAATACTGCAGAAGCAGCATGAGCATGGTGCAGAGTAGCAGGAGATAAGGCCAGAGAGCAAAGAGAGGGGCAGATCACTCAGAGCATTGTAGGATTTTTTTTTAAATTAAGATTTACTTGTTTATTTTAGAGGCAGAGTTACAGACAGAGAGAAGGACAGAGAGAGAGGTCTTCCATCCACTGGTTCACTCCCCAAATGGCTGCAATGGCCGGAGCTGGGCCAATCCAAAGCCAGGATTGGATTAGCTAGTATTTTTTTGAGGACTTTTGCATCTATGTTCATCAGGGATATTGGTCTATTGTTTTCTTTCTCTGTCATATCTTTTTCTAGATTAGGAATTAAGTTTATGCTAGTTCTTAAAAAGAGTTCTGGAGGATTTCCTCCCTTTCAATGTTTTGAATAGCTTGAGAAGAATTGGAATTAGTTCTTCTTTAGATGTCTTGTAGAATCACCAGCGAAGCTGTCTGTTTTGAGTTTCTTTGTTGGGAGGGTATTTATTACTGATTCAATTTCTGTTGGTCTATTTAGGTTTTCTATGTCTTCGTGAATCAATTTTGGTAGATTGTATGTGTCCTGGAATGTATCCTTTTCTTCTAGATTTGGGCTTTTCTTTGTTGGGAGAGTCATTATTACTGACTTAATCTCTGACTTGGATTTTGGTCTGTTTAAGTTACCGTACACACAATTTATGTAGACAGATTGACAAACTGAGCAGAATAGAACAAATAGAAACAGATCTATACTATATGGAACTATAATATTTTACAGGATGATATTTGTAGATTCATGAGGGATGCTACTATGATAATTATTTTAGCAAATAGAGATAACTTAGGCTTTGCCTAACACCAAGTCTGATCACCCCTCTTCCCATTTGTTCTTCTGTAAGGATCTCTGTGATAGCTATTGTCCAAACAGTTGCCCACACTGAGACACACCAATGCCCTTGAAAGACATCCTTGGATGCTTTTTTTGTGCAAGCATTATTTTCTCTTAATCCTCAAGTCTAATATATTCTTTTTAAAAAAATATTTAGTCATTTATTTGAAAGAGTCAAAGAGAGGGAGAAGGAGAGGGAGAGGGAGAGGGAGAGGGAGAGGGAGAGGGAGAGGGAGAGGGAGGGGAGGAGGAGGGGGAGAGGGAGAGGGGATCTCCCATGTGCTGGTTCACTCCCCAGATGACCACAATGGCTGAGGTTGGGCCAGGCTGAAGCCAGGAGCCATGAGCTTCTTCTGGGTCTCCCACTTGCATGCAGGGGCCGAAGCACGTAGACCATCTTCTGTGACTTTTCCCAGGCCATTAACAGGGAGCTGATTTGGAAATGCAACAGCCCAGATAAGAACCAGTACCCAGGTAGTGGCTTTACCGGCTAGGCCACAAAGCTATCCCATGATATATTCTTTTTATCCTCCCTTTACTGCACTAACTCCTACTAAGGATCCAGGGGTCACTTACATGGAAACATTGAGTTAGATTCTCCTCTTCTATGGTCCAATCATGCCCCATACCCTGTCACTATTGGACTCACACTATTCTAATTTCTATTTTGTTTTTGGTAAGTTTCTGAGAATCTGCTATAAATTCCTTGAGGGAAGTAATGCTGTTTGGTTCAAAGTTTTATTTTTCTTGCCTACTACTGTGCTTGGAATATAATAAAAAATGAATAAAAATATGGAAAATGCATGAACTAGTAAATAAAGAAATGAATACATAGATAGAAAGTAGCTGAATTCTACAGCTGAAATGGCCTTAAGTTTTTTTTTATCATCTTATTTTATTTTAGGAGAATAGTCCCCATTTTTAGTCTTCTGTGTCAAATAGATCTAGTTTAAGATATTATTTCAGGCTATTGTAAAACCACTTTTCACATATTCTTTTTCTTCATGTTGATTGAAGATACTTTATACATGAGCAAAAATAAATTCTGAATGCCGTGGCTCAATAGGCTAATCCTCCACCTTGCGGCGCCGGCACACTGGGTTCTAGTCCCGGTTGGGGCGCCGGATTCTGTCCCGGTTGCCCCTCTTCCAGGCCAGCTCTCTGCTATGGCCAGGGAGTGCAGTGGAGGATGGCCCAGGTGCTTGGGCCCTGCACCCCATGGGAGACCAGGAAAAGCACCTGGCTCCTGGCTCCTGCCAGGATCAGCGCGGTGCGCCGGCTGCAGCGGCGGCCATTGGAGGGTGAACCAACGGCAAAAGGAAGACCTTTCTCTCTGTCTCTCTCTCTCTCACTGTCCACTCTGCCTGTCAAAAAAAAAAAAAATAAATAAATAAATTCTGAAGTTAATTTAATTTGTCCAGAAATACTATTTCTCTGAAAAGTAATAAATAATCTATGTTGTAACACACCATGGGTTCTCACATATATTAAAAAAAATCATTATATTCCCTGTTCATTAAAATAAATGTTAATTAGAATTGTCTGGAGCATTTTAGGTGCCCAACAAATTTTTATTGAAAGAATGGAAGATTAAAGGCCTCATTAGGACATTTAACTTTTTTTTTTAACTCTAAAAATGACTCTTACTTCTTATTGCATTATTGTCATTTACCTCTGAAGGAGTTTGATTGGCCAATAGAAGGACTGCTTGTTCCAAATAGTCCTCCCATGAAGAAACCCATCTGTAAGAGCCCAGAGCAATGTGTACCTGTGAGACTGAGAGTGCTACAGAATGGAGACAAGAATAAAGACAGATACATGGTTATAATTGGTCCAGACATCTCATCTGGATGGAGAACAGAGTAAGGACAACTTGTTTGTACTCACATTAAATGTACTTTCTAGTTTCTATAGGTTTTTTATCATCTTCACTATGAATTTTTTTCTGGGAGAAATTCTATATTTATCTTGAAAAAGCATATTGATATTTCAAGATGAAATTTGATATAAAATTCATTTAGGTTCTCTGTCAAGAACTTAACTTGAACTCTGCTGATTTGGGCTAAGCACAGGAGAAGATGGGTTAGAAATTAGTATCTCTGATTAAACAAAATTCTATGATAAATTTGTAGTTTGAATTAGCACTTTTGTTTGAATTTTATCAGTGTATCTTGAACAGGCTTAACTCAAATTATTTAAGTGGAATTTTATAATTCTTTAAGTTATTAGACACACTTATGTTTAAATCTTTGGAATTTTAAATGAATTTATATAGTTCTCAAAAGTGTAACTTTATAAAATTATAGTCTTTCCTGGGATCACATTTTCAGAATTTATCATCCTACAAAAGCATCATTCTGAACTTTAGCTTACTTTATGATTGGAATAAAATCTTTCTAAATAGCCAATATTTCCTCACTGTTGGAAAAAATCACCTGCTATATATTTCATTATTATGACAAAAGAAATCATAGATCATTGGAAATATCTGATGTAAAGAATGAGTTAAACACGTTGTTTCTCATATAATTACCAGTGATATTACCCCTTGACCTTTCTTTCGAGATGTTTGGGATAGTTGAGGCTGCTGATAATAGTTTAATATTACTTTCTTCACACTGATTAAATATACTTCATACATCACTGAACAATGAGTAACATTCAGATTGGCTGTCCACTGAACTGCCTTTAAAGATGATAAAGTAAAAAATTAATCTTCAAAGTAAAGTCAAGCCTGAAATTGAAATCTTTGACGCATACATTTCATAATTAGCTCATTCTACTATATGTAAAATGTGAGAGTAATGCCCTTAAAGTAGTGCATTGTTTTTTTTTTCTTCTTTAAGCATCTAAAGTTAGCATAATTTCTATCACTGTCTATCTTTATTTTTTCTTTTTTTATATCTTTAATTGTGGCTCAGAATTATCTGTGGTTATCAAATTATTAATTAAATGTTTTAAATGTTTAATTCAGTCAAGTTATTCAAACATGTCTTGAGACATTGGCAAATTTGGATGACTGTTCTAGCAAAAAATGTGAAACTGCTATTTTATTTATATGCTATGTTTGTGGGATACAGTATTTTGGTTCATCAATTATTCAGATAATAGAGAGTCACTTTGTTAATCTTTATTCTAAAATGGTTAAAACACAGTGGCATATACTTGACACTAAAACTCTACTAAATACAGTTTAATCTTTCTTTGCTGATTGTGATATTCTGTGCATTGTAAGAGAAAGGCCCAATAGGAGGCTCTAAGTAAGCTATATTTTAGATAACCTCTACATATGTATTATGTAGTGGTAAGTTATGATCCCTGAACTTACTCAACCTCCTTAATTTGACTTTCAAGGCCCTTTATGACCTACCCTTGCATATTCTTCTAGCTTTATTTCTTATCAACACTCTCTTCAATCTCATTCTCAAGCTGCCCATTCTGTCCTCCTCTTTCCAACACCTACCATTTACTTACATAATAAAGTCTTTTGGGAATGACCTCATTTCCAGATGTTGACCTTGAGCTTCACACTCCCTCCTCCAAAGTTATAACTGATATGTATTCCACTGCCTTGGGCTTTCCCCCAGGATAGTAACCGCCATTGTGCTTCATGATTATGTCTATGTCTTCCTCCTTGAGATAGCGAACAGGGACAATGTCTTATTCATATATGTGTTGTCTGCCATGTATGGTCATAGAATAATGTGTCCTGGTTCGTCAAGCATTAGAATATTTAACAGTCACTTTGTTAGCCACATGAGTAATAGCCCAGAATGAGCCCTAAAACATTACTTATTGAATGAATGAATGATTAATTATGTTTCACTACCATGTAAAATGACTACAGCCATAATTATATTTGCTCATTATTTCTTTCATTTAATAGAATATATTCTAAAAATAATTTTTCAACTTAAATATTTCAACAGATGTATATTCTAATAATCTATCTTTTAAAAATGAGCATTATTTATCTTTCATTATAAAAATCTTTGGGTTTGGGGACCGGCACATTGGCATAGTGGATAAAGCTGCCATCTGCAGCACCAGCATCCCATGTAGATGCTGGTTTGAGTCTCGGCTGCTCCACTTCCACTCCAGCTCCCTGCTAATGTGTCCTTGGAAAGGCAGCCACAGTGTGGCCCAAGTGCTTTGGCCCCTGATCCGTGTGGGAGACCTGGAGGAGGCTTTTGCCTCCTGGCTTTGTTTGGCCTGGCACGCCCTGGCTGTTGCAGCCATTTGGGAAGTGAACCAGCGGATGAAAGACCTCTCTCTCTCTCTCTTTCTCTCTCTCTCTGCCTCTTTCTCTGTAATTCTCACTTATAAATAGATAGATAAATCTTAAAAAATAATAAATAAAACTCTTTGGGTCTGGACAAATAATAGAACCACAGGTAAATAAAATCCTATAGATAATATGAAAGTAATTTCTGAAATATCTTAGAAGTTGATACATTTCCATCTCAGTGTGTATGGCATTATTGAAAGTGCTTAATTGTGGTAGTTTTTGAGACTCTTTTTTTTAAAAAAAAAAACATTACTTTTAGGGCAAGTCATGGTAATTTAGAACTTATAATTTTTTCATATATTGAAAAAAACATATTAAGAGATAATTGCCAATGTATATTGACATATCAATCATATCTTGCATCATTTGTTTCAGAAATTCTATCACTAAAAAGAAAAAGGAAACCTATGTCACTGAATATTCTGAAACAAAAACAAACCAGATTGAATTTCAGCAAATTTTGGAAAGGTAAATACTTAATATCCTAAATGAAATCCTAAATCATAAATGAAATATCCTACTTTCAAATGTGAGTAATTATGCATAATAGCTAGCACAAAAATATATGTATCTACATAAGAAAACAGTTGTTAATAACAATGAGTTTGAGGTTTTTAATCTCTAAAATATATAAACTATATGGTCTAGGATACCAACACTAACAATTACATTTTTCCCCAAAATTTCAAGGTATGGCAAATTCCTCTAGCTTTCTAAACTATCATCTCAGGAAATATAAATAAATATATTTCAAAATGTTATAGCATCATTATTTGGTTTATGTTTGCTTGAACTGAGGGCAGGGTTATTAAAATTTTCTATTTTATCTATTAGAACCCAGTTCTTAAAATATTACTTGTCTATATCATATTTGTGAAATGTGTTACAACTTTTATTTTAACCAATATTTTAGTACCAAAACAATATTTGATAATTGCACAAAGGTGAGATAACTGGTGTCAACTTTTTTGCAAATATGTCTTTTCAAATATGAGGGGTCAGTCTTAAAATTAAGGGAAATTATGCTATCTTTCCTTATTTAATAACTCATTCTAGACAGAGCTGAGATTCATTTGTTTTTGGTGGTTTTTCCATCTACAAAGCCAGAGGAAGATACAGTGGTATAATAAGCATCATTTTATAATAATAGATGTAGAACTCTCTCTACACTTTCTGCTCTATAAAGCTGCAGGCATCATAGAGTACTGGAAAGATCACTGGATTAGGAGGCAAGGGAATTGATTTTAATGCCAGGTTTGCCCAAAAATATCTGGAAGTCCTCAGCAAAGCCCTGCCCTTCTCCAAGCCTCGTTTTCTGATCCATTAAGCAGTAGCATTGGGAGAAGAGTGGAGAGCACGGCAAAAATGAATTTTATCTTTTCAACAAACATCTACTGTGTTTATGTTACATGCATCAACCTGTGTTGTATGTTCTGTAGGAGATATGTTTCTTTGAAGGGCAAGACATTCTTTGCTCTCGAGAAACTCTGAACTTTTTGGAATGATAGCTTGCATAGTGTAACAATTACAAAACCATACGTGGTATGTTTAGCTGTACAGAAATGAGTGAGGGATCATTTTATATTAACTGGGAAAGAGCGAGAACCTTGAGCAGGGCAACTGTCAAGGAAGGCCACATGGAGAGGAATGAATGTGAGATAGAAATATAAAACAATAAATGAAGAATGGAAGGAAGCATGTAGTCATAGCTTCCTGGAAGTTTTGTTGCTACTTTGCAATACCCAGAAGAATATAGTAGGGCTCCCAGGACAGGGGGTGTGGGTGATAATTCAAGGAGATCTCCACCTTGCAAAGCTTTGGTTATCTGTGGATTTGGGAGATGCAGCTCCTTCCGTTTCCCTTTCCTATGGGACACCTGGGTTTTATTGTATTTTATTGAAATACATTCCTCAGGGTACCAGCTCAACCTGATGTTCCTCCGTTGCTCCAGTCCTGAGAAACAAAATCTGAGAAACATGCAAGTTTCCTAGACTCTTTAGAAACCCATTGGTCCACAGGATTACCCTTCCTAACTCCTGGGATGAGAGCCAGAGGACCTGATTTCCAGGGCCTGTCCTTCCATGAAGTGAAGAAATTGTGGACTGCTCACTTGGCATCTTGCCCTCAGTTTCTTCACTTTTTTTTTTTAACATTTATTTATTTATTTGAAATGCAGAGTTACAGAGAGGCAGAGGCAGAGGCAGAGAGAGAGAGAGAGATCTTGTATCTGCTGGTTCACTCCCCCAGATGGCCACAAATGGCTGGAGCTGGGCCAATCTAAAGCCAGGAGCCAGGAGATTCTTCTGGATCTCCTACATGGGTGTAGGGGTCATCTTCTACTACTTTCCCAGGCCATAGCACAGAGCTGGACGGGAAGTGGAGCATCCGGGACTCAAACCAGCACCCCTATGGGCGGCTTTACCCACTATGCTACAACGCCAGCCCCAGTTTCTTCACTTTCTAGATTTAGTATATTATTACTTTATGCTGATGTCCTCTTGGGCGGCCATACAAAGGCCTAGATAGATTTAGGTATGAATGTCAGCCCTCCTGTTTACTATCCCATGACTGTGGGCAAGGAACTTAACCTCCATGCTCATTTTCCTCCTCAGTCAAAAGGGCTGCTCAGAAATGGTGTGGAAATTAAATGACAGAATAGATGTGAAACACTTGCACTGTGTGGTCCATTTCAGTAATGCATTGTTGACTTTTTATGTGCCCATTCCTTTACAAGTATTCACCCATTTTTCTGTAAATATATCCCTGAGACACATACTACTATTTTCATCTTTTACTGATGAGGCAAAGAAGGCTCAGAGAAGTTTATTAACTCCTTTAGGGCTACAGAGTCAGTATATAAGAGGGCTAGAACTTGAACCCAGAATATCTGATGGCAGAACACACATTCCGTATTAAGTACTTAAGGACTAGTTGTCTATGTTGACTAACATGTTAACTAGTTGGAAGAATTATACACAGCAGAAACTGCTTTTCCTAATCCTTTCTAATCCACCTCCATTGCCCAAATATAGCATTAAAACAAGGTTTTCAAAAATGGGAGGAAGAAAGATTCACCAAGCACGCTTCCCTTATATTCTCTCATCCTTATTGCCCTAAAACAGGATACTCCCATGGTCTAAACATCTTCCCAGGAAAATACGAGTGGTGACAGCTATGATGATGGTAACTTCTTAGGTCATACTCCAAATGCGTGTACCTACAAAGATGTCAATTTGAGAGAATGTAGATAGAATTGGGTTGGGTCTCTCTCTCTCTCTCTCTCTCTCTCAGATTTGTTTATTTGAAATAGTTCTAGATAGAGAAAGAGATAAATACAGAAATACAGAGAGAGAGACAGAGACAGAGACAGAGACAGAGAGAGAGAGGCAGGCCAAGAGGCCTTCCACCTGCTGGTTCACTCCCCAAATGGCAGCAATTGCCAGGGCAGGGCCAAAACCAAAGCCAGGAACTTCTCCTGGGTCTCCTACATGGGTAGCAGAGTCCCAAGCACTTGGGCCATCTTCTGCTTTCCCAGGCATATTAGCAAAGAGCTGGATCCGGAGTGGAACAGATTGGACTCAAAACAGCACCCATATGAGGTGCCAACATCGCACAGGGCAGCTTAACCTGCTATGCCACAATGTCGGCCCCTCAAATCTCTTCAACTTCCCTCCCACCTTACCCAACCAACTCCTATGGATAAGGAACCTGGCCCGGTTCTCACTGGTCTATCAGGCTCCAGAGTCGTGAGCAGTAAGGACTTGGTTTTCACGGGTTTATTTCCTTCTAAGGCATCTTCAGAGAATTGAAGGGTCTCATTGTCTTCTGAACTGCATTATCTCATCAAAGGAAATAAAATTTAGAAATATTCTTCATACAGCTGAGTCTTACTGATGAGCATAAAGCCATCTCTTATTCATTTACCGTAAATACTACATTATAACATAAAATAGCCATTATCTTTCACTTTCCTTCTTCCAAAAGCAGTATCATAGCAACATCTTTTGGAAATGCCTGCTCACTCCCCTTTTGTTATACATCTCCTGGCTCACAAGCCTACCTGTTTTCTGCCTCCTAAACTGGCTGTTTGGGGTCCAGCCTCTGCCACCTCCAGTGGATTTTCCACCTGACAATTAACTTTTGAAAAGCAGACCTGATAACATCACAATCTGCTCAGATACCTTCAATGGCTTCCTGCTATTAATGGGATAGAAGCTAGGATCATTAGTCTGAAATTTTAAGTGCTTTCATATTGATTCCTGTCTTCTTTTTTAAACTTATTTGGCCCCTTTGCCTATTCAAACATTTAGCTGTGGCCCAGTCCTTCTTTATAAACTCCTATCTATCATGTGAAGTCCAATTGAAATTTCACTTCCTTAGATAAGGCTCTCCTGGGGGAGTTAATTGTTTCCTGGTGTGTTCTCACAGACACTGGCCAGGTGCCCCTGACACCACCCAAGACCTCGTATTACACTTCAGTTGCTGAGCTGTTCCTACCTTTAACTAGATTGGGAGTGCCTCAGGGAATAAACTGCGCCATTCATCTCCCTATTTGCAGGGCTTGCCCAGTGTTCTTTTGGGCTGGGGACAAAAATTAATATTTAATGTTTATTAGCCTGGCTAAAAATTAGTATTTCAAAAGGAGTTAAAGATATGGAAATTACTTTTTAAAAAATATATTTATTTATTTATTTATTTGAAAGAGTCATCGTGAGAGAGAGAGCGAGCGAGAGAGAGCAAGCGAGAATCTTCCACTCATTGGTTCACTCCCCAGATGGCCACAATGGCCAGTGCTGGGCTAGGCTGAAGCCAGGATTCAGGAACTTCTAGATCTCCCACGTGGATAGCAGGGGCTCAGGCATTTGAGCCATCTTCTGTCTTCCACTGCGTTTCCTAGATTACTAGAAGGGAGCTGGATTGGAAGTGGAGCAGCCAGGACATGAACCAGAGCCCATACAGGTTGCCAGAATTGCAGGTAGCAGGTAAAACCTGCTGCCACAATGCTGACCCCAGAGATTACTTCTGATGGAGGGGGATGAGGAAGTGCTTGGTGATATACATGACTTCGGAAGTCTTGAACAGAGAAAAATGAGGAAATTGTAGGCAGAAGGAAGAGCACAAGCAAAGGAACAGAAATAGGTAAGTGTAGGGGCATGTTGAGCAATGAGAAGTCAATAATCATATGTACCTATTTGTTGCCATAGATGGCACATGCTAAGCACTTTTCAAAGTCATCCTCTAGTCCTTACAACAACCCTAGAAGGTTAGAAATTTGGGCTTAGAAAGGTTCAAAAATTTGCTTAAGTACCGTAACTCGGAGAGAGGGAATGAGGCTCAAACATGTCTGTTGGCTGCAGAGTCCAGCTCTTCACTGTCTCACTGTCTGCAGAGTTGTCGCTGATGATCCAGGCCCTTAATTTCTCTCTTTTTCTCTTTTCACTGCTGGAAGATCTCTGTTTGCGAGGTCAATTTTTGTGTTTCTTATTACAGGTGCACTGAAATTTTAAATTTACCTTCCGCAGCTCGGAGACTGTTTAATGAAAAGGGGAAGGAAATCTTTGCCCTGAGAGACCTGCAAAGAGATGAACTGGTAAAGACATGGATCTGAGACTGGAAATCTTAATATGTGAATACTGAATATATGTGAATATATGAATACCATCCATAGAAAAACATCCTTAAATATAAGACTTTAGCTGCTTTCCCTTTTTATTCTTATTTTCTCTTAGACCTGTCCTAACTGGGCAACCATCAGAACGCAATACTAATAACTAATGTTGTGTTGTAACAGTGAGAACCTCCTATGTGTCAGGCAAGGTTCTCAGAAATATATGTGAATTAACCCCTTAGCGTTCACCACGGCCCTAGGAAATGGGTGCTCTCATGCAATCACTGTGTGTATGAAGTAAGAAACTGGAGAAGGTTGAATTAGTCACCATTTGTGATTTCCGTCTCTGCCTCTGACTGAGGTAGATCCTCTACTCTTTTTGAAGCCTTGTTTTTCTTATTTTTTTCTATTCTCTTTTCCTTTTTTCTTCATACTATTCGGTGAACTCTCTTCTAAGTGTAGGGTTAATAATATGAATACAAAATTAATTGAAAATAGATCTCTATAAAAAATGAGAATGGGAAAGGAAGAGGGAGGAGGAAAAAAGGTGGGAGGTTGGGTGGGAGGGGGCGGGGAAGAATCACCATGTTCCCAAATTTATATTTATTAAATGCATGAAGTTGTATTCCTTAAACAAAATTTAAGAAAAAGTATTAAATGGCACCTATAAAAATATAATTGCTCAGTGATTTTTTAGAAAATGATAAATTCACTTTGTCAGGAAAGAAATTATTTCTTTAAAGATTAACTAAATTTGAAACTAATTTGAAAAGCAGAGTTACAGAGACAAAGAGAGACAGAAAGAACAATGTTTCATCCACTGATTCACTCCCTGAATGGCTGCCAATGGCTGGTAAGCTGAAGCCAGCAGCCTGGAACATCATCTGGGTCTCCTTTGTTGGTAGCAGGAGCTCAAGCACTCAGACTGTCTTCCACTGCTTTCCTGAATGCATTAACAAGGAGCTGGATTGGAAGTGGGGCAGCTGAGACTTGAACCAGCACCCACATGGCATGTCAGTGTTGCAGTGGTGGCTTAACCCTCTGTGCCAGAATGCTAGGCCCAAGAGATTTTTTTTGGTACACACTATTTGGTACACACATTGCACACTAGAGACTGGTGTGCAATGAAAAGATTGTAGCAATACACTCATTTCTCCCGGCTATGGAATTTGCAGTATCAGCCTGCAAAACAACAATAATAATCTGCCTTGACTGATACCTGAGACTGCACAGTGAATAAGCTTGTACCAGGTTATCAGAACCCTACTGAGGCTCTCAATGTAAACCCAAGTTCTAATGATCAGCAGCAAGGACATCATGTGGGATGGAGAGTCTGTGATTCCCAGAGTGTGCTGGATTTTATTTTGAACACTTATGTTGTCACTATCAAGTTTTCTCGTTGTTTATTCAAAAAAGAGTAAAGTTAACTTAGAGCTAAGCACAGATGAGGCTACCTGGGCAAAGAAGATATATGTGTAGAGAGGGATAAAAAGAGTGACTGCATAGTTGCTAGGATTTAACCTGATATTGCTCCCTGCAGCAGGGTGAAGAGTGAAACACGAAGTTAGATAAAACGAAACCTCTTGTTAAATAAGAGGAAATTTTCAAGAAAGTGTTCCCTGAGTCCTCATACAAAGAATTTTGGTAGTGATGAGTGTGTGACGGTCAGAAGAGGAAGCACTGAGACTGGGCACTTGGCTTACTGGTTAAGCGTCCACATCCCACACTGGAGTACCTGAGTTTGCTCCCAGCTCCTGATACTAACTTCCTGTCCGTGCAGAATCTGGGGAGCAGCAGCGGGGCTCAGTTGGGTTTCTACCTCCAAAATAGGAGACCTAGCTTGGGTTCCTGACTCCCAGCTTCGGCCCGGCTCAACTCTTGCCATTGTGGGCATCTGGGGAGTGAACCAGTGGAAGTGAGTGTTTTTCTCTCCCGTTCCCTCCCTCTCTCTTTCTGCCTCTCAAATAAAATAAATAAAATGAAAAGCCTCCCTTAAGTTTGTCTTCCTTCTGATTCTTTCTCATTATATCACTATTTTTTGCCCTTCTTTAAAGAAATATGTATTTCTTTAAGAAACACATATAAGCAAAACTGAGGAAAAAGTATCACGTGTAATCTCATCATCTAGAAAGTTCCACATGGATGTTTTGAAGTTTATACTACAATTTCATGTATGCCAGAGGTCATTAAGCTTTTTCTGGAAAGGGCCAGTTAGCAATTATTTTAGGCTCTGTGAGCCATATGGTCTCTATGGAAACATCCACTCTGCTACTGTAGCATGCACACAGCTACAGATAACATAAATGTATTGGCATAGCTCTGTTCCAATAAAATTTTAATTATAAAAACAAGCAGCAGGCCAGTTTGGGCTGTATCCACAATTTGCCAGTCCCTGACTTGTGTGTACCTACCTTTCAATCCTTCCTTCTTTCTTTCCTTCCCTTCCTTTCTTCAAAGAAACTATTCTAAAACTTACTTTTTAAGAATCATGGGTCACAGTAAATTGTAACCAGACTTGTTTGACTCAGTACAAAATCCATGCAGAGTTCACCAAAATGATTGCCTTTATTAATATGTAATGTGTTCATTTTTATTACTGTAGTATTTCATGGTACCAGAGCTTGTTCAGCCATTCACCCACTGCCAGAGTATGTTGATTGGTTCCAGTTTGGGCTGGAGTACAGTTATATACCACAGGATCAGAGCCGTGTTTCTCTGTTAGGTGTACGTTTCGTGCGGAGAACCGTGGATCAATCCTGATGTAGCCACAGCTCAGCAAAAGCAGCGAATCCTCCTCAGGAACTTAGCATCGGATGTTTCCAAAATGCAAGCCTTCTGCAGCACGCATAAGCCAGAGGGTAGGCGCTGGAGTTATTTACCGTACTGCAGGTAGCCAGAGTAAAATGCTTGGTGATATATTGTTTTTTTGCAGTAAACTTTAAATTTGTTTGGTCAGATCATATTCCACCTCTGCATCTTTTTAACTCTGTAGATTAGTGTGTGTGTCTGTGTATGTAACACAAGGTTACCTATTTTAATTCACGCTACAGTTGGGATGTGTAAAGAAAACATAGTGTCTTTATTCTTTGTTGAAAAGATGTGACCTACTTGGTGAGCCTCATCAAGGAAAAAAATGATTCTCATCAAGGAAAAAAAATGAAATGCTCTCTCAGGTTTAAATTTTGTCCTGTCCAATAATTTAATTTGTCTCTTTAGGAAAGACTTTCAGACTCTTCAGTCTTCACAACCTTACTTTAGTGTCTCTTGGGCATGGAAGGGAAGAAATTGGGATGCGATCCTTTTGCTGCCTGGGCTCTGCCTGGGCTCTGCCCCCTTGCAGGGGCGACTTGTGCTCCATTCTTTTGGCTTGGCATCGCTTGTTTTGGGTGGGCGGTGCTTCCTGCCTGACTCAGCTTCCCTGTGCTCCGCCTCTGGCCCTCTGAAGCCTAGTACTGAAAGAATAGTCATCAGCACAGTGCTTTCTGTGGAGTCAGCTCACCCCTCCCAAGCAACCATAGAGTCTCAGCAAATCCCGGTCCATAGCTGCACCTCCCAGAAACGGGATGCTACTTCAGGTGGCTATGCCTCAGACTGGGGTGACAAGGGGACCTTGAGAAGTGACCTCATCACAGTGTCCTGAACAATTGACAGTGTCCTCAGTGTTTCCCTGGTTTAACTAAGAAACCCAAAGTGAAGCCTGCAGGGGAGGCAGGATTTCCTGTGCTGGTTTTCTGGCTTTCTCTGTCTCAGTCTCAAATCCCCTCAGACCCAAAAGTAGTGATTTCTTTCTGCAGGCCAATCCTGAGGTTAAACCCTTGATATGCTAAATGGGAGCCACAGGAGTTTGGGAAAATCCTAAATCGTGATTGTATCATCCTAACTTACATGGCTGTTGCATGTTGTTTGGGTGTCAAAAACTATCCGGAGACTTATTTTCCTTGTGATTTGCCTTTCTAATTTCCTCATACTCCTCTCCCTTAGGTCCTGTATAGAGAAAGGAAAAAGAGAAAAAAGCATAATTTAAAACACACCCCTGTTGCATATATTGAACAGTGAACAGTAAAGCATTGCATGTGTCTTTCAAGACACTGTGTCTTTCACTGACAAGTTTGGATCCCACAGAATGAGCTAGATACATATATCTAAATATTGTAGCCCATTTCAATAGCTGGAAATGAAAATAATTAACTTATTTTTGGTAGGACCTATAGTAATACTTTTGACTAAGAGTATCTTGAGAGGAAAAAAATGTACAAAACCAATCCAATCGAATTAAATAACTGAATTAAATCCAACTTATTTAAAGAATCTCCCATGAATAGACTAAATGATTGAGCATTTTTTGCATTTGTATTTTAACCTGTGTTTTGAAATTCCCAGTGCTCTGCTATCATAACTAATATGTCCTTGCAACTTGTGCATCTCTGCTCAGCTCTCGTTTTAGAAGTCCAAAGTGACATTGCGTCTGGAAGCAAGCTTGCTGTGCGCAAACCTATAGTAATTTTTGGAGAAAAGAAGGAAGTTACAGAACCAGAGGAAAAGCAAATGCAGGCTGTTTTAACAATGGAAAGTGCTTCCAGAGAAATTCTGTAAGTAATCATTGTAGCCAGCAAAGCGGCTGGGGAGTTTTTTGAACTCAGCTCATTAGCCTGGTTACAGAACAGGGCCCCTGCAGGGAAGCCATGGCAAGTTTGTGAAACTGATATCAAATGCTAGTATTTAATTAGTGTTTTGGCAGAAGGATAGAACTGGCACTTCATTGTTCAATCATCACAAGGTATTACTTTTAGTCGTGTTATTATATGTAGTACTATTTTAGAATCTTAAAATTGTGGACATTTATTTGAGGAACTCCTCTTGTTTTGTTTCCATAAACAGTTGAATTTAGGAACAATCAAACTTCTTCACTATTGCAGGTTCAAGTTGCATGCGTGTTAATATACAGTCATCATTCTGGATCATTGAAATAGCTTTCTGATTAGTCTCTGTCTCCATGGTTTCTTCACTCCAAGTCACCTCTAAGTTCCATCTGTGGGCAATTACCTTTTGAATACACAATCCTTTTTCATGTAGTTTTTCAATGGCAAACTATTGCAGACAGAAAAAATTACTGGTCTGGAATTCCAAGCCCGTTTGACCCACACCCATGCCTGTCACTGACCCTCATTTGCACCCCTATGCCTGCTTCCCCTTCATACTTTTCTTTCTGCCACATGAGTGCCACGCTCCAGTTCATCCGCTATAAGCTATTGCCAGAACGTGGTACACGTCATTTATGATCTGCTACAGGCTTCTGACCACATATTCATATCTTGCCACCCAAAGTGTTCTGTTTGCCCCATACTCGTTTGTAGAATGACCTTCATCATTCAAATCAATTCCAGCAGTGATTATATATAGTATGTCTCCCTGCCCACCTTCGCCCAGCCAGCCTGAGAAGCCAATGAGGGCAAGGGCTCTGTGAAATGTACTCTTGGAAGAGCATTAGAAAGCCACTGTAAGATTTCTCCAGACTTTCTTAAATACACTTGTTTGACAATTGGGGTAATTTAAGATGGGGGGCAGGAGAGATCCATCCATAAAGTAAAAGACTAGGGCATCAATGTGTAAGGAACCTTTTTGATTGCTGAGTTTTGTGAAAAGTTATCTGGTTAAAAAAGAAAAAAAAATCAGAAGCATGATGGTGATGAGGCTCTGCACTGATGTGTTTAGAACTCATCTCTGGGGGAACTTCATTCCCTCACTAAGGAACAGACACCCTCGCTCACTGCATACCTCTCACAGCAATGTCTCTCTAGTCCTCAGATGAGCCCAATGTGTGTTTACTTCAGAGCCTTTCTGCTTGTCCTTTCCTTGGCCTGGCCTGTCTCTGGATCCTCACATGACTGGGTCCTTCCCACCGCCCAGATCTCAACTCAAACCTCAGCTCTGAGAGGAGTCTTCTCTGGCTCCATTGCTAAAGAGGCCTCACTCCAGCCCAGTCAATTTACACCACAGTATCCTGTTTTACTTTATTACTGCAATTATTTACTTACTCATGGATTTCTATTGTCTCTTTTCTTCTTTCTAGAACAAGAACTTATGGACTTTGACATTTTATCAGCTTTGTACATCACTGTATCTCCATTTGTTAGAGCTCATTGATTCCTTTAACTAATATTTATAGAACATCTGCTGTATGATGTTCAATAAATATTGGTTAAAGGAATCAATAGGCAATTGAGTGATTAGTTCTATGAATGCATGAGCGAGATTTATTTTAAAATGAATTCTGAAATTGAAATGACTATATTTTACTTGCCATAAAGCTCAAGATCTTGCAGATGATCTACAAATTAGAAAACACCTTGCTAACTTGATTAAAACAAAGGATGACTTTTTCTCACGTCCTCAAAAGAAATGGAGTTGGTTGGAAAGCTGTGTTTCTTATATTTGACACAAGGTGGCACTGTTGCTTTTTCAACTGTTAGGAGGAGTACCTTGAGAAACCGCTCGTGAGGCCATGGTTATTCACTAGTTTCTTATCTACATATAAACTTTTGTTACCCTGAAAAGTGTAAGGCCAGCACAGCTAACACAGGAATTGTCTTTGAAGATTTCAGCAATTCGATAATGCTTGCAGTTAAATTAAATTATCACAAGTACCTTGGTGATCTCAGTCCACCCGTGTATTCACACGTGTGCCTGCGTACAGTGTTCAAGCCCATTTGCTGCTTTGCCCGTGTGTTTGTCGTGCCTCCCACCAGTCAGTCCTCGCATTGTGTCATGATTCCACAGACAGCACATGTGCTCCAAACCCTGGCCTGGAACTTGATATATTCAGAGCTGTTCAATGGCTTCTGCTCCATCCACATCTTCATCTTAACGAGAAGCCAGAGGGCTGGCTCACTTACTCAATCTATGACTATTTACTCCAATGTTTCAGGCCATTATTCTCTATCTGGCACATATGTGCAGATGCTATTTGAGTCTCCCTAGATTTCTCCATTGAGAGAAAAAGTTGATATTCCTTAATGTTGTCTACTGAGTAGACCTTATGAAACCCAGTAATCTAGGCTGAAGTGTTCCAGACAGATCATGATCCATTTATGGGGTGGGCAGAAGGAGTTACATGTTCATTATGAATTTCCAAAATTTCTAAGTAGTCAATCTTTATTACTTTTGAAATATAATGCATGTGTGATTTTTCCGAGTAGCTATAGCAAAGAGGAATGTTGCTTATTAAATGATTGAGTAACTTTATTTGCAGCCTTATATTAAATGCCCTAAATTATAAATTAGTGAGATGTGGTTTTTGAATGTTAGGCGCCCTTATGGGAATAAGATTTATAGATTCACCAGTATCCTACAGGACATGATAGTCTTTACCTCAGAAAAACAATCTGTGAGCACAAACCTGAATTCTTAGACGTGTGCTTGCTTTTGAACCTTGATAGAGATTCACATGCAAGAGCCCATCTCCGAATGGAGGCCAGCCAGCCACTTCTCAGGTACGCCTGGCAGGAGATTCCTCATGGCTTGGAGGAGGATGACAATCTTCCAAAGGACACGGACGAAGGGCTCTGTGGGGATGTGGAAGCACCGAAGAAATACAGGTAAAAATAAAATGCAGAGATTCTCTCTCACCTTGGCACAAGCATACCCCTGAGAGCTTTCACAGTTGTTGGCCATTGCTTACATCAATGTGTGTATCTTTGTCTTACATTTTTGATAAAAGAATTCACAAGTATTCGAGGCAAGGTTGTCTCCCCTTTGGCCTATTGTGTGCAGTGTTGTAATTTCTTGTTCCCTGGTGTGTCTTCTCAAGTAAATAGCGTGCTAATCCACCTTTGCTCCTGAGAACTTAGCACAAGCCTGTATTTTGGTTGAATCAACATGTGAATGAATTTGTAAATAAGCATGCAAGATGCCTAGGTGTCTGTAAGAAGTTAATAAAATGTTATTTCTTCCTTTATAATGTTATTTTTTTTTCTGGTCGGTGTTCATTGAAGTAGGAATGTAAAGAACTATGTATTATTCTGGGATCTTTAGATATTTGGTTAACATTACAGCAGTTACCAAATGTGTGAGTTAAGTAGTTTTGGCACTGCAAGATTTAGTATTACGCATGTGCATAGTAGGGACTTAGTAGATGTCTATAGATTAGTTACATTGCCAATGCATTGCATATTTAACATGTTTAATATCTCTGCTTAATGCCTTAAGACCATTAAGTAAGAGATAATTTTATATTAATTTATTATGTCATAATTTTCATTTATGATATTCTATGTAGAGGTCATTGAGGAAGTTGAAAAATGATGTCCTATTTACTGGGGATGTTGTAGATAGAAGATAGAAACATCATAATTCAGCAGAACTCTTTTTTTCTTTGTGATGTTACATCCCACATTACCCCCTCCTCTTATTTTTTTTAATATAACTTTTTTTCCATTTAATAAATTACCACCTGAACTGAACTTCTTTTCTCTTTAATGATGAATTTATCAAATCTTTGTTGAGCTAAACATTCATGTCTTTCACAAAATAAACTCAGAGCTCCATTTTTTTTATATCAGCTGAGAAGCACCATGCTATAGCATGGCTGCTGTTTGCATGGCGTAATCTATCCTTGCAAGTTAGCATTGTTCACAGTGGGGCTGCCACCAGTGGTATTGCTGCTCTCCACTGCAGCAAGCACACGGGTCACTTTTGTGCCACTAATGAAATTTCCTTTATCCTAGCCATTCTCCAAAGCAAAGTAGATTGCAGAAGCTTTGCCATCAGCAGTTTGAATTCAGAGATGGGCAAATTGTCAGCCATGCTGCTCCTCAGCTAGTCTTGGGGGTACAGGGTCCTGGCCTGCATTCAGGTACAGAGGTGGTTTTGGTCAAGAAGAAACCCAATGATAGCCATCAACGCTGGATACACAAGGAAGATAGCAGGTAAAGCCTTTATATTTGGGGGTTAATATATCAAAAGTTGAATATGAACCCAAGAATTTTCACATGGTCCCCATAGGGCAAGCAGAGGTATATTTGAGGGCTTTGGGTTTTTCATTTGACTTAGTTGATAATTCTTTATCCTAATCAAAACAGAGAAAGCTAATGAGATCAAATGTAAATGCCAGGTAGGCTGCAAATAATTTATCCACAATCAAATTCAGATAAGAAAGATTCAATCTGATTGATGGATATACAGTTTTTGTAGCCATTGGGCTCAAGACTAGACTCATTTCTAATTTTATTTTTATGATATGAAATGATCAAATAAAAATTCTAAAAAGTTCCCAATTTTAAAAATTTTGGGTAGTTTTCATTAACTCAACCCTGGCTCCTCTCCAAATCCACGGCTCCCCTTCCTCCTCTAAAGTTAACCAAACAATGTGGCTTTGACACATACAGTGAAAATTAGCTATTACCTTAGCAAACATCAGCCTAAATCAATGTTTGGCGTTGGATCCAGATTCAAATCAAGTACTGTCAAAAGCTATTTTTGAGACAGAGAATTCTAAAACAAGTATATTAATGAAGGCTTACTGACTTTGTTGGGTAAAATAATGGCTTAGCAATTGTATTTTAAAAAGAAAAAATCCTAATCAGTTCAACACGTAGTATTCACAAATAAAATTAAAAATTTATCTCATATTCACTTTAAAATATTCTAGCAAGAATAAAAATATAAATAACAGAGAGAAATGATAAAGTAAGAATGGAAGATTGCTCATCGTTGTTTGGGTCCATGATGGCTCATTACACATTTCTCTGTTTTTGTGCATGTTTGAACATTTCTTTGATCCAATAAGAAAGAAAACAACTGCTTTTTAGATTGGTTTGCTTCAAGTTCTTCCATTGGTAATACCTGGTGAGACTCTTCAACCTCTTGAAATACTGTAGAAGATGCATGCTTGTGCATCTGTGCAAAATCTTTTTTTTTTTTTTCTGGGGAAGAGCTGTGACTTTTACTGGGTCCACAAAAGGTCTGTGATGCAAAAGGCTTATGAATCGTTGCTTTGAGAGTGATCCTGTAAGCTTCAGCAGGCGGCAGCAGCGGGCCCAGCGTGGGCAGAGAGGAGCTAGCTTTACTCCGCTCACTGTCTGAGATGAGCAAAGCTGCCAGCAAGGAACACTTGCTGGGCTTGTTTGGGGGAAGGCAGGAAAGCCAAGTGTGTCCACAGACCTATTAAATGTATTCCTTTACCCCATTCACACAGCCCAAGCTGTCTTTGCAATGTGGAGCTAAGATAGAAGGTGTTTGTTCCCATGAATGGTTTGCTATTGCAGACCAGGATTCATTCATTCAGCTGCAAAGGATAATTGAAGGCAGTGTTTAGGTGCTGGTGCTTAGCAAGGAACAAAACTGTTGAAAATTCTTGCCCTTACAAAGGCTGACATTCTAGTCCTACCCCATCTCTGTATTATATTTATAGATATATCTTGCTGTGTTGGCTTTCTGGATTATGGCGGAGGTGCCCACTTAAGCCTAAATTGGAATTTGAGCATGGCTGATGAATTTCAGTGGACATGCATGGGGAATGAGGGATGTGGCCCTAAGGCAAGAAAAAGCCAAGCAAAATGAGATTGACCCAGGAATACTTGGTCATTAGAAGAGAGCGCTAGCTCTAAGTTCTGTTTAATGTCCATCACTGGTTTTTTCTTATTCTGAGCACTGTGGAGAAAGATGAGGGGGGGAAGGCCATTTAAGTAAAAACAAAAAGGAAGTTCTCCTAAAACTCTGGGCTATGGTCGAGCATAAATGGTACTGCTTTGGAAAATCTAACGTGTAGCAGAAAAGAAGGGAAACCCCTCCCTCTTTGCAGAGCACTCTGCAACTTTGTCCTCTTGAGATCTCCCCATGGCAGGCCGCAGAATAAAGGGGCAGCTGATGAGAGGCCCATTGGGATTGCTAAATCCCTCTTCAGAAATCTTGGAGTCCAAGGGGAAGGCGTGGAGCAGCAGGAGTTTCAGTGGGACAGGATTTGCTCATGAGAACATGAGCCATCCTCCAGGGACTTGCAGACACGCTTGGGTAGGAAAAGTTTTCAGAAGTCTTGACAATTAGGTGTGGACTGGATTCAGGGCAATATATGTCCCATGGTGAAAGTCTATCTGCGTAATGACAGCAATTCTGCATCTACTTCTTCATTTCCCCTTGGCATATCGCTTTGTTCCTTTTATGTAATTGGATCTTGAAAACCATTTGTTCTGAGAAAGCTGAGGGTTGGAGAGCTCTGGATTACACGATACAGAAGAACCTGTAGAACCTGGCATTCATTCCAGTCCTTTTTATCCTCTATATTTTAGACAGGTAGGAAGATAGCATTTAGAGAGCCTCCACCCAGAATTCGTAGAACAGCCAGCTGCCAGAATCATGGAATGTATCAAGTGACTGTCACTTTGCTGAGAATTTCATCGCATGAGTCCTTCCATTCAGTCCTGTAGGCCTGGAATTAATTTTTAGTTTGACTTTTTATTTAAAATAGAAAATAAACAGGGAATCTGATATCTTGAGCAACTATAAACAAAGCCTCTGGAGGAAGGTTTTGACTGCGAGAGCAAAGCCTTGCTGGAAGAGGAGGACGTGGTCGAGGCTGGAAACGCTAGGAATGAGTGAGGAGACCCTGAAAGGTGGCAGGAGAGCGCGAGGGCACGCCACGCCCACTTAGTTCCCAGCCACACAGAGTAATGGTCCGTGTCAGCTTCGCAGGTTATATCCCTCTCTTATTGTCAACTGTAGTGCGATTGAATTAATCATTTGATCTCCAAAGGGAAATAGGAGAAAGTCCTCGGGGGTGAAAGCCCCCCACAGTAGGACTCAAAATTACAGAGGAGAAAATCCAGTGTCATGGAACTTGAAGTTAAAAGGGATCCTAAAAATTTTTGAGTCTTCATTTATTTCAAGGCAAAGTAATCTGAGACTCAAAGAGGCCGAGTGACCTGTTTGTGCTCATACTGTGGATTAATCAGAGGCTGGGGTAGCAAGCTGGATGTGGCTGGCATCTGTGCTCTTCAGCACAGAGAGGGGCTTTCTATGGACGTCTATAAGCTCAGCGTTTCCACAGACTGAAGTTACTTCTCTGCTGTGGACAAGCACCAGGTGACAGGACTGTTCAGAAAAGGAAAAGAAACACAGCAGGGCAACGACAGGGCGTGACAGCAGAGCACGGGAGAGACCGCTGCGTCTACTCCAGGCAGAACAGCATGCAATGAGCAAGGTACCGAGTCCCGCCCCTTCAGTAGGACACTGCAGGAAATATGCAGACAATGATTCTGTTATTTTAATGATATTATTGAGTGCCAATGAAGTGCAAGATGCGAACTGTGCTACATGTTGAGGCCACAGAGATGAGCAATGGAGTACCAGCAGTACAGGCTTGATAAATGCCAAAGAGGCATTTCATAAAATTGAATACCCATTTTGGATTGAAAATGGTACTTTGCTAGCTTACTACAAAGGGAAGAGTACATTGTAAGATTAATAGTTATTATTCTGTGGGAGTAAGCGTGATTTAGAAAGTTTTGTTGGGGCAGGTGCTGTGATGCAGCAGATTGAGCTACCACTAGGGATGTCGGTATCTCTTATCAGAGTTCCTGGATTGAGTCCTGATACTCTGCTTCTAATTCAGCTTCCTGCTTATGCGCCTGGGAGACAACAGATGATGGCTCAAGTACTTGGGTTCCTGCCACCCTTGAGGAACACCTGGATGGAGTTCTTGGCTCTTGGATTGGGCTTCGTCCAGCTCCAGCTATTGTGGGATTTTAAACAGCAGATGAAAGACTGTGTGTGTGTGTGTGTGTGTGTGTCCCCCTCTTTCTGTCACTCTGCCTTTCGAATAAATAAATCCTAAAATAATTTGTTATAACTTTTAATGTATTTTCAAATACTTTGTAAATTCTTTACAATGAGGATATATTATTTTCAGAAATTTGACTTGAATATTTGGATTTTTTTAAATCTTGAAAGGAAAAATACATGACTTTTATAATGGATACCACCCCACCTTCTCCTATTGCCTTTACTCTCACATCATTAAATTTTAGATTCAAGAGGTGTTACATTTTCCACAGCAGGATTGCCACTAAAGAATTGGCTTTTCTACACAGATGTGAGCCTTGAATGTTTGGTTTATTTTTGCTTTTAAGTGTGATGCAGTGGAAAGAATTTAAAAGTTTTTAGCTCAATCATTTTCATTTTTTTTCCAGTCAAGGAGGTTTTATTTTAGCTCCATTAAGATTTTTTTTAAAACAAACTATATATATCATATATTGTATCTTGAATTTTAGGGCAAGACCTTTTGGGAAAAAAAGAGTTAGAGGAAAAGCTATAAAAATCACAGATATTAATAAGAGTAGCTAATTCTAAATGTTATGTACCGTGCAATATTTTATGCATATTATATGCATTAACGCATTTGACTTCCACTTTATGCACCATAAATTTTCCTTTTACAGATGAGAAAATTGAGGCACAGAGTGTTTAAGTCAAGTCAGACCTGAGAAGTGAACCCAGGATTCAAATTCAGGCAGTATGGCTCCAGAATCTACTTAGTCATTCTGATTGCCTGTCATAATAGCAAAATGGGCACGGAGCTTGTATCAGTCTGGGTATAATTTAGAATAGAAACCACACCGTGATTTAAATGAGGAAAATTGAATGTAACGGATCATTACACTATGACAAAACATTAACCATTAGACACATATGTGTACACACATCCTTGCACAAATAGGTTTTTTTAAAAACTTTGTTGAAAGGTGGGAGTTTAGCAGCATGGTTAAGACCCCTGCAGCCCATGTTATATGGTGCATTAACATTTGGAGCATTCAACTCTGGGCTCTGGCTCCTGACTCCAGTTTCCTGCTAATGCGCCCTCGGGGAGGCAGTGGTGATGGCTCAAGCAATTGGGTGTTTTTCGCTCATGTGGGAGACTGGATTGAGTTCCTGGCTCCCAGCTTCAGCTCTTGCCCGGCCCCAACCAAGGCTTTGCCACTGCAGGCAACTGGGGAGTGAACCAACAGATGGGAAATCTGTCTGACTCTCTAACTCTACTTTTCAAATCAGTAAACATTTTAAGAACATATAAAATAAAATAAAATTCATGGAAAATGAAATTAAAAGATATTTTTGGTTGCAAGAATTTTTTGAAGTCAGTGCATAGTTTTTTCATAATGTTCATTTTTTATGAACTTTTGAAGACTCCCTGTGTATACACGTGTAATATTGCACTGAATATTGGAGCATGTTTGTTTTGATAAACTGGTGAGTTCTGGAAAAAATAAAGAAAATTTCACTTACGTTAAATCACAGGATTCCATTTGTTAATCACACTCTTTTTATCCTCTAAATTTTGCCCCAGCACTAAGGGATGATTTTACAGAATATGTATATATGTTTATAGAATATATACATATATATATATTTCATATTCTAAGGCTGAGGGAGAGAACCAATTGAAACAGTTTTGGTATGATTTCACCCCACTGGATGAGAGAAATTTTCCTGGTGTGCCTGGCTAGAACTGGTGGTGCCCAGCAACTGGTGGTTTCTGGGCAAGCAGGACAGAACCATCTGGAATGTGTGTGGGGTGCAGCTGGTTGCTGGAGATGCCAGCGTGCAGTGGGGATAGAACTGTTGGTGCTGCAGGAGGGCTGGAGCAGGTGGTATCCCTATCAACAGGTCAGTAGCAGATGCTCCACAGTCCGGCCAGGCCAGGTGAGGGTGTCAGGAAGCCATCCCTTCTGGACACCTGGTTGGAGCCAAGAGCATCACTGGATAGAATCTTTCCCAACCACGGACCCCGTGTAGCAGCCCGAAGGAACAGGGGTTCCCCTTTGGCTTGCTGTGTTCTTCCAGCACCCTCTATAGAGAAAGTTCCATATCATGCTTACCCTCGAGGAGAAATAAAGGATTTATATCCATCACCATACAGCACAGATGGAGCCGAGAGGCAATAGTTAGGAGGAGATCTAAGCAGGTCATTCCGCTTTGTAATCTGACTCATCCTGTTTCCCTAGGACCTTTCACTTGGCGAGTAACCGAGATCTTGTGCTGGCAGTGTCCATGACCAAGGCTAGAAATGAAGCCAGTGGCTATCCAGTGATTGTTCAGGTAATAGACGTGCAGGCATATAAGTTAAGGAATAATCATGGCCCTTTAATCATATATAAATAAGATTGTGGAGAAAAAAAAAAAAAACACTGTCATTAGCTTCTCCCTTGAATAATTACAATAGTCCACCTAGATTTCAAATCAACCTTGTTCATGTAGCTCTTAATTTAGTTTAACCCAACAGATGGTGTTTGTGGGCTTGCTGCATTCAGGCCCTATGCTGGTTTCTGGAATCATATTCAGTGACAAGCACAAGGAGTTATCCCAGCAGCGTTCAGGAACTTACAGTCTAGTGATGGGTACAGTCAGGTGAATGACTGCTAGATGCACCTAAATTCAATCATTTAGAGCATTTGCAAGTCCCCCATACCTGGAAATTAGAAGGAGAGAACCTGGCTAGGGAGGATTTCCTGGACTACACAAGCTCATCAGTATTAGTTTTACTAAGTCACCTCTTTGAAACACACCTTTAATACAAGTTTGCAAATGCTTGTAGTAGCCAAAAATAGAAACTGATAAATGTTTTCCTTGCTAAGAGGACAGAGAGTTTAAGTACATTGCTGGTTCTGCATTTCCTTTCTGTATCCTCCACAGTATTTTACATCTTTTTAAAACAAAATATGAGGCCGGTGCCGAGGCTCAATAGGCTAATCCTCCACCTAGCGGCGCCGGCACACCAGGTTCTAGTCCTGGTCGGGGCGCCGGATTCTTTCCTGGTTGCCCCTCTTCCAGGCCAGCTCTCTGCTGTGGCCCAGGAAGGCAGTGGAGGATGGCCCAAGTGCTTGGGCCCTGCACCCCATGGGAGACCAGGATAAGCACCTGGCTCCTGCCTTCAGATCAGTGCGGTGCACCAGGCGGCCATTGGAGGGTGAACCAACGGCAAAAGGAAGACCTTTCTCTCTGTCTCTCTCACTATCCACTCTGCCTGTCAAAAAAAAAAAAAAAATATATATATATATAGTCTCTTCAAATAACATTTGTTTTATACTACATTTTTAATAGCAATGAGGGAAAATGTTTTGCAAGCCATGCATCCAAAATTGGGATATAGGAATCTGAACAAATACTAGGGCTTAATTAAGTCTTCCATCCTGATGATAAAAGGACTAAACCTTTATTCCAGGAGACGCAGTATATATCACATTACATTCAGTTCTGTCAGGTACCTCTTCTTCGACCACAGTGAGATAAAACTTCATGCTGATGCAAATTTAGTACCTTAATCAGTTTCATAAAATTGTACATATTAGTGTTTTCCCTTAAGGTTCTCATTTTATAAGAAATAAATTTGATCCCAAGGTAATCTGGATTGCCTTTCAAGACTTTTTCTTTCCTGATGTTTCATTTTTATTTGTGGAAGCAATCAGTTTGAGAGAAAATATTAAAGGCCATATAAAACAATAAAAATGAGGCATGTTAGGTTAACGATACCAGGCCCTTTCCACTTCCTTGACAATACACCCTCTGGTTTTTGAGACCTCTGATGGAGGCAGTACTGTCTGACACATTAAATCACTTCTTGAAACTCATTTATTTTCCTCCTTACTATTATCCTGTTGCTTGAGAAAGTAGGTGTTGTTAATTATAAAGTGAGGTGTCATGATGTGTTTAGTTAAAAGTAATCTACTGGTTTTACTTGTTAAATGGAACCTATATCTTTACGTGGGCCAAGTGGGCCAAGTTTAATAAATTAGAATAAGTATACTGTTTCAATTACATATTTAACCAAATGTATTTAAAAAACTGATAAGCCTCCCTGATAATCACTGAAATATAAAATTAATTATCAATAAGGTAATTTTTTGCTTATTAAATCAGTTTTTTGGGAGGTATTGCCCATTTTGACAAGAATATTAGGAAAATGGGTCATTTCATACACTACTGATGAAAGTGTGGAGTAAAATCATCTCACTAGAAAGCATTTTGATGTGATACATCATAATCTTTAACAATTATCATATCTGCTCAGCAACTCTACCTCTAGAAATCTGTCTTGATGTGTAATCATGGGTTTATACAAAGATTAATTTTACTGTTATTCATTGCTAATTTTTTTTAAAGAATTACAGAGAGAGAGGAAGAGACAGAGAGCGAGCTGTTAAACCTACTGATTCACTCCTCAGGTCGCCACAATATCCAGAGCTGAACCAGGCAAAAGCCAGGAGCTTCAGCTGGGTTTCCCACATGGATGGCAGGGGCCCAAGCGCATGGACTGTCTTCTGTAGCTTTTCACAGGCCATTAGGGAGTTGAATTGGGAGTGGAGCAGCCAGTTCACAAACCAGCACTCATGAGATGCTGGCGGTGCAGGTGGTGGGTTACCCACTATCCCACAATGCCAGCCTTCTATTGGCTTATTGTAGGGCTATTCTGAGAAGCTGCCCACATGTTTAACTATTGTAGTTAGTAAACTATAATGTTAAAATGATATTTTATATATATATATATTTAAAAGATGTTAGGGAAAGCTTCATGAAAATTAAGTAAAAAAATGCAATTACTGAATTGTACATATTTTGTAATTCTATTTTTATAAATTGAAGAATGCATATTTAAGGACCTGCATTGTGGCAGAGCAAGTTAAGCTCCCACCTGCGATGGGTACTGGTTTGAGTCCCAGCTGCTCCACTTCTAATCCAGCTCCCTGCTAAAGCACCTCAGAAAGCAGTGGAGAATGGCCCAAGTACTTGGGTCCCTGCATCCACATGGGAGATCCTGATGAAGCTACTGGCTCCTGGATTCATCCTGGCCCAGCCCTGGCTGTTGCAGCCATTTGAGGAATGAACCAGCGGGTGGAAGATCTCTCTCTTTCTGTCTCTTTTTCTCTTTTTGTCTCTTTCTCTCAACTAAATAAATAAATATTTTAAAAAGAATAGGTATTTATAAATATAAAAATATTTTATATACAATCACTAAAATATTAACAGTAGCTGTGATATAAACAGTAGCTGTATAATAGGATTATGTACTTATCTACACCTTTGGATTTATGCAATGAAAAATATGACTGCTCTAAACTTGCCTTTCTATTTGACTTTACATTTTGTCTCTTTATTCAGAAATATAAGGAATACAACAATGGAACTGCCAATCAAAAGTGGCATTACATGGAAAATATGAAAGCGTTTATGGCCTTTCATAGCAGTGCCCTGGACAAGGAAATCACATCAGCAAATTACGCTGGCATCTGTACATCTTGTGTTAGTAAAGAAAACATTGATCAACCAGTAAGTGATTCCTTCTTCTCAAAGAAGAAGGGGAAATGGGGTACAATAGAGTAATTTAATAAAGCAAAAACCTTTTCTCACCTAGAAAAACCTTAAACCTTATGTTTGTACAAATGGAACACAAATTTTTGAATTAAATCACTTAGACTGTTGGTTCTGGTTAGGAAAGAATAAAAGAAATTGTAAGGAATAAAATTAATTAGATATTCTATATAATAGTATTTCAACGTTTCATTATGGAAGTTTTCCTACATATTCCAAAGTAAAGAAACTAGCACAATGAATCTTCATTTAACCATCATTTGAATTCACCTATTATCAAGGTTTTATCATATCTGCCAACACAAGACATGATATCATTTCACCTCTAAATTAACAAGTACTTTTAAAAGTTTTGAGCATTTTCTGAAATAATAATCATGCCATTATCAAACCAACAAAATTAACAATGATCTTTGACTATCTATAATACTGTTCTTTTTTTCTTTTTGCTAATACTGATGTCACAATATTTTTCAGAAAAGATTTATTTATTTACTTATTTGAAAGGCAGAGCATCAGAGAAAGAGAGAGAGAGAGAGAGAGAGAGTGAAAGGTGCAAAGAGAAAGAGAGGGAGAGAGAATCTCCCAGCCGCAAGTTCACTCCCCAAATTGTTGCAACAGCCAGGTCTGGACCAGGCCAAAGCCAAGAGCCAGGAAGTCCATCAAGGTCTCCCACATGGGTGGCAGGGGCTCATGTACTTGGGCCATCTTCTGACACCTTCCCAGGTGCATCAGCAGGAAGCTGGATTGAAAGCAGTGTAGCCAGTACTCGGACCAGCACTCATTTGAAATGCTGGTGTTGCATGTGGTGGATTAACCCACAGTGCTATAATGCCATCTGAAAACCTTAATAAAATTTCCCTGGCTTTCCTAGAAACCATCTTTGCAATTTGTTAGCTTGGGTCAAGATCCAAACAAGGTCCTCATGAACATTTGGTGGCATAGAATAATTTGTTGTATATACTATTCATCATTTCTATCTGTGTGCTTCTTTGTGGCATCCTTCAACTTATTTCTCTAGCCACCATAATTCCTGCAAGTGGAATTGAGCACTGGAATTGTGATTAGATTTATTCCTAACAATTTTTGGGCCAGAATTTTCACAGATTTTTTTTCCTGTATGTTTCATAGGGAACATCTAGGTTTTCCATTTATGATTATAATTGTTATCAGTGAGTTCAGATAATGACAATCTGATCCTATATTTAAAAATTCTCCAGTGATTTTTTTTAAGATTTATTCATTCAGCTGAAAAGCAGAGCTAGAGAGACAGAGAGAGAGAAAGAGAGAGAAGAGAGAGAGAGATCTTCTCTCTGCCGTTTCACTCCTCAAATGGCTGCAACGGCCAGAGCTGGTCTGATCTGAAGCCAGGAAACAGGAGCTTCTTCTGGGTCTCCTACATGGGTGCAGGAGCCCAAGTAGTTGGGCCATCTTCTTCTGCTTCCCTAGGTGCATTAGCAGGGAGCTGTATCAGAAGTGGAGCAGCTGGACTTGAATTGGCACTCACATGTGATGCTGGGGCCACAGGTGGCTTTACTCGCTATGCCATGGCACTGACCCCTCTCCAATGATTTTTCATCTAATGTTACACTTTTGTTGCAAAAGGACCAATTCTGCCTAATTCTGTAGTTTTCCATACATTTATTTATCAGCTGAACATTTAATACAAGGAAGAACTTCATCAAGTAGGTATTTGACTACTCAAAAACATGATCTGTAAGAAAAGGTAGGATAAATGCATTATTCTTTCTATCCATCTCACTTACCTATTGCAGTGTAACACAGTACCTGAACACTTAGTGGCTTAGCCCAACAAATATGTTTTGCTTTGTGGGCTAGAAATTTGGGCCAGGCTCAGCTGAGAAAGTTCTGCTGGTCTTGCCCAGGATCACTAACTAATGTGCCTGCAGTCATCCCTGGTTCTTCAGTAGTCTGGTGGTCCTACAGGGACTGAATTGACAAAGACGGCCCTCTAGGGGCTGCCATTGTGGCAGAGCCACTGCTTGCAACACTGGCATCCCATATTGGAGTGCCAGTTTGAGTTCTGGTTGCTCCATTTTTGACCCAGGTCCCTGTTACCGTGCCTGCACATTAACTTTAAGTTGCCAAAGTGCTTGGGTACTTGAGCCCCTGCCTCTCATATGGGAGTCCCAGGATGGAGTTTCTGGCTCCTGGCTTCAGCCTGGTTGTTCTGGCCATTTGGAGAGTGAACTAGTAGATGGAAGATCTCTTTATTTCTCTTTCTCTTCCTGTATCTATAACTCTGACTTTCAAGTAAATAAATCTTAAAAAAAAAAATGGCCTCCCTCATATGCCTGGTGGTTGGTATACTGTCAGCTGGGGCATTGGTTCTCCAACCGCATGGATTCTCAGGCAGGCTAACTCAAGCTTGTTCATGTTGTGGTCTCAGAGTCCAAACTGTAGCCCAAAGTGGAGAAGCTCCAATGTCCAAGCACTTCATAGCCTTGCCAGATGCAAGGAAAGGAGACAAAGAGAAATAAACTCTCATTTCTTGATTGGAAGAACAGCAACATCATGTTTCACAAGGATATGCAAATCAGGTTGGGACAGTTTTCTTGTGGCCATCTTTGCAAATAACGTGCCACACTGTCAAATGGCCATTTTTTTTTTTTGAGACCTTCCTACACCAGTTTTATTTAAAACACATATGAGTCTTTCTGTAATGGCAAATAGTTCAAATAATGTGAAACATGAATCATTGACTAATACGAGGGGTTTAAATATGAAATAAATTTTTTTAAAAAAAGAAAGAGGTTATATTCAAAACAAGGACCTGGAATCTCTTAGCTGATTCCAAAGATGACATGATAGAAAATCTGTGGTGAAACCGGAACATCCCAGCCCTGTTTGAGAGAAAGGCTGTCACACAACAGTCGGCTGAAGGTGGATTGGGAGAGGTATGTCTATATATAAATTCCAAGTCGGTTTTGCTTGTGCATGATCATCCAGCTCTTTCCAGCCCTGTGGCTTTTTTCCTTTTCCACACTCCCAAGAAGGCTATAGGAAGTTCAACTCTCGATGAGCCGCTTATAACAGCAGTCCCTTAGGAGCCAACACGACAGGTGGGTCAGATTGCCCTCTGAGAAACAAAACTGGACGCCTACAGCAAAAGAGCAAAATGGACAAGTCCTTTTCCTCCTCCTTCCGATTACATACAGTATGTCTCCTTTCCAGACTAGTATCCCTGTCACATGTGGTTCCTTCACAAGTCTACACCTTGAGGTGAGATGAAGGAGACTAACAGCAAGAAAAGAAAATTCAATCCAGAAATGAAAGAAACTGGAAGGTATCCAGTACACTTCAAGTGTCTCAATGTCCCTGCTGCAGCACAGCGCACCGAAATGGCCAATATTCAGAGTTATAAGCTGGTGCTCGTTTACTTCCAACAGTCTCCTATGAACTGTAGTTTCATTTTTATTTGTTTGGAATTTTGTTGATTTGTTTTTACTTGTGGTGTTGGCACCATTGTGAACTCTTGGGTTGTCACACATTCAAACATATTCAAAGCATTTCTGATAACATTCTTTTTGTTGCTCTCAAATGGTCACTCTTTGGAGTCTCCTTCATGTTGGAACCTGTGTCTTTTCCACATGATTCCTTTGCTCTTGGATGACTTCTTTTCTTTCTGGGCACATGATGGTATCCCTTGCTTATCTTAAATATTCTTTCTCTAAATCTAGAACTGCCCATTCCTTCATGAAAACATGATTATAGATACAGATTATACTCACTGGTATTGCCTTGTCACTAAAGAGTTTGGGAATACTTTTTTGAAAAAAATATAATTATTAAGGAGCAAAAAATAATACAGTTATGTTATTTCAAATTTAGCATTTGGGAATGATAAAAGGGCTTTATTTATGTTGCAAAATGTTTTGCAGAAATGCTGTCATAATCCAGATGTACTTAAATGAGTATCTTTTTTTCCCAATCTAGGGATACTATTACCTCTCACCTGGTGGAAAGAGAATAATACTCTGCTTGGCTTGTGGAGGATCCATGAGAACAGAGAAGGAATTGAAACAGGTGCTTCCAGGGTTTCCATTCCTCTGTGCTTCAGGCTCCAAAACCTCGCGAGGGCCTTTCAAGGTCACCAACGTGGCCATGGTGTGTAATTTGAGCTCCGCTAATGCACATGTGGCAACAGTTTAGAAACTTTGATGTATTCATTATCTGCCTTGCACTCAAGTTCATCTCCACTCATCCAATTCATCTTCCTCAAATGCACCTTTACCATTCTACCTGAATTGATTTCCTTTTTCCCACTGTAATTTAAAATACATTGTCTATTAATAGTTCAGTATATCCTTTGAAGTTAATTGGGCATGTCTGCGACTTTAATCATCTACTGACGCCTTTTACTGTTCTCTGTGTTGCTTTCAGGTGAGAAAGTAATGCAAATCTTTACTTTGTTGAGCAGCTTTCTTGCCCATATCCACAGGGTAAACTCCTTTCTACTAGTATGGAACAATCCAGGGAGAATTTGACATGTTGTTGTTAAGGACTGTTCAGGTTGGATGTCTGAATTTGCATATCCACGACTAATGCTATTGAGAGTTCTTGGAGGAATAAAATCTCTGTCACTTTTCTATGACTTTAATTTACAAGGGCACCATTTTAGAAATGCTTCCTTTGAAGTTTAAAAGTGAAAAGAGCTGAGTAAACTTATCCATTTGAATAACAAAGAAAGATTCCTAAAAGATAGGCAGTGTGCTATCCTGGTGTGCTCTTTAGGGTTTGTCTACCTGCCTCCTAGACCCTCTTTCTCACCCCTGACCCTGATGTGCATGGTTGGGCGTGGGGCTGGGGAGTGGGGCAGTAACATTGCAATAAGCATCAAGTGATAACACAAACTGTGAAGGAGAAAGGAACCAGTCCTCTGGGGAGCCTGGAGGCACTCAGCTATGCTTGAGATAGAGCTAGAGTTAAGGAGTGCATGGGGGAGATGATTAGAAAAAAATCAGTGCAACAACCTCTTAGAACTTTTCCTACAAGACAACACCCCTGGTAGGGGTGAAAAAGCAAAGGTTTTCCACCTTCATCACCATGTGGTTAAGGAGTGTGGGCTTATTCACTTCCTCATTCTTCAGCATCTTCCTCCATAGATTGCATCATCCTAAAGCTAAAAACTAAGGAAATATCGGTAGTGATCATGTCTCTTTACTTCAACCCCAGGCTCACTTTGGTCCTGGCATCTTTGTCACAAGGGAAAGCAAACAAACAAAAGATCAGAAGCATATGCCAGTTTCCCCAAACTCACCTCGTAACTCAGAGACAGGGCTGAAAAGGGAACTGAAGAGTCCTGACCCAAATGTCCTTCCCATTCCAACATCCAGTATCTATAGTAAGGAAGTGAGCATTGCAAAATTTAGATCACACACACACACACACACACACTCATGAAATTAAGAGATTGAGGTATACCAAAATATAAAAACTAAAAGAAGAAAGTAAATGGACTTTTTTAAAAAATCAGGTTGATTTATCATCCTCCGAGGCTGAGAAAACCCTAAGTTGTTATGAAGAACGTCTGCTATCTTTCCGGATGAAGGCTGGCATGCAAGCTGTATCTCACAGTGGTGTAGCGGCTAAGCACCAGAAGGAAGTGAAAATAATTGCATACAAAAATGGGGATGGATATCGTAATGGGAAGTTAATTGTGGCTGGAACGTTCCCCATGGTAAGTGACTATCACTTAAAGGCTGCTTGCATCCTCAGAGGTAATGATAATGACAATTCTTTCTACAAGAAAAAGCAGGGGGACTGAGTGACAAAAGTCCCTGGCCAGATTCTCCAGTTTAAGCTGATAAAATCAAGATCTACATCTTGATATCCTTTTTCATTGTATTTCTTTGGCTACAAAGATTCAGAAAAATGAGAAACCGGAAGATGGGTTTCAGATTGACTCCAGAGTAAAGACATAAAGCAAAGGGGTAGAACAGAGATTCCGTATTTTCTTCATCTTTATGACAAAATGCCTTTTCTCCACCCTGCTTCCCGTGCCGGTTTCAAGTTACATGTCATCTGAGTAGTCTGCGAGATGCCACCTCATTTACCAGTAGTGCATCGGAGCACTTATTTGTTGATAGGGTGTTTCATTTTGCTTTCAAATTAGAGAAGCAGGGGTTGTCTTCGGTAAGACTATGTGGTCTTTATCTTGGAGACTGCTCCCATAGCCTAAGGGAGGGAGAAAGAGCCAGAAGTCCAAACCCAACCTTGTCCTTCCATTGCTTGGGATTGCCTTGTCTATGCCTTACGGCCGATACCTTTAACAACATAGTTTATTATGATGTTAACTATGATACAAAACTACCCTGTAGGTTTCCTTGCAAACACACGCACACATACACATATCTGTTCTCACACTTCTTTGGTTAAAAATAAAAGGATTGTTTAAAATTATGATATTGTTGTTCAATGGGCTAAGCAAAGTACAGAAGTTAGTGACTAAGATTCACCCAGGCACCCATAGCTGCTTTTATGGTCTTGGACAAAAATAATAACCTCTCAGCCTATTTTCTCATCTGCAAAAGGAGATCATTGAATGTGGCAATTCTTGGCTCTATGCTTAGCAATCACTTATTTTAAAGTGGTTTATCAATATGAAGTCTTACAACAATTTTATGCCTTATAAAGCAACAATATTGAAAGCAGGTTTCTAGGTTAAACATTTCTTAGAAAATGCTGTCATGCTAAAGTATGTCAGCTACTGTCTTTTGAAGCTAGAAATTTTCTCAGCCAGATTGGACTAATGTAAGATTAGGAAGGATATCTATTATAAAAATTATCTATAATCAAAGATCAAAATCAGTAGTTATTCTGCTTTCTATTTTCTCAAATTAAAAAATTTACCCAGATTCCTAAAATGGCATGCTTCTCATGATTATTTCTCCCTCGATCACTATTTCCCATCAGTTTCTTACAGTCTTTATGTTCTAGCTTCTTACAGAGTGCACAGAAAAACTTGGGCTTGCCAGAGCAGCCACCAAAGTTTATACCAAGGATGGAACCCCAGTCTGTACTTTGTGTGATTTGGTTTCATGGGCTCTAGAAGAATCTTTCATTCAGAGAGACTCCAAGGAACAGGAGAAAGTTGCAGCTCCTATTGGACCAGAAGAGACAACTCTCCAAAGTATGGGAAGTTGACTGCATTCTGCAAAAGTGAATTGGTTCTATTTATATCTGATCACAAAAAAAAAAAAAAAATGCCATGTGAAATTTTGTTTATTGCTTACTTATTTTCATCTCTTTGAAAGGCAGGGATAGAGAGAGGGAGCATGAATAAGGGTGAGTGAGTGAAAGAGAGAGTTGGATTAGTTGAACATTTCATCTACTGGTTCACTCCCCAGATGCTCACAACAGCCAGGGCTGGCCCAGTCCAAAGCCAGGAGCCCACAACTCTATCCAGGTCTCTCATCTGAATGACAGGGGCCCAAACACCTGATCCATCATCTGCTGCTTCCCAGGATGCGCCGCCAGTAAGCTGGATTGGAAGCCGAGCAGCTGGGACACCAACTAGCACTCAGATATGGAATGAGGGCATTCCAGGTGGTGGCTTGACCTGCCACCCCACAGCACTCGCTCTGATGTGACCCTTTTATTCAATCACTTCTTCCAGAATTTTGAAATCACAGGGAACTACTTTTGTAAGTGATTTCAAAAGTTTCACTAGGGAGTTTTTACCTTTAGGAACAATAGGAAATAATTAGAAGCAATATAAATTTTTATTTCAGTACTGCAAAAATAAATTACATAGAATTAATAAACTATGTTTGTATAAATAGCTAATTTATGAGACAGGAGCAGATTTTACTCTTAAACTCAGCCAAAATGAACCAGAGACCACTTAAGAAGTGGGGCTAGGACATTGTCGATCTATTAGAAGAAATATCCTCTCCACACCTCTCCTGTCTTCCAACTCCCCTTCTCTATCCTGCCCATCTCCACCACTGCCGCAAGCTCCAGTCAATGTCCCTGTAGGGCAGCTTTTTATTTTATTTTATTTTATTTTATTTATTTATTTATTTTTTTTTTGACAGGCAGAGTGGACAGTGAGAGAGAGAGACAGAGAGAAAGGTCTTCCTTTTGCTGTTGGTTCACCCTCCAATGGCCGGCGCGGCCGGCGCGCTGCAGCCGGTGCACCGCGCTGATCCAATGGCAGGAGCCAGGAGCCAGGTGCTTCTCCTGGTCTCCCATGGGGTGCAGGGCCCAAGCACTTGGGCCATCCTCCACTGCACTCCCTGGCCACAGCAAAGAGCTGGCCTGGAAGAGGGGCAACCAGGACAGAATCCAGCGCCCCGACCGGGACTAGAACCTGGTGTGCCGGCGCCGCAAGGCGGAGGATTAGCCTAGTGAGCCGTGGCGCTGGCTGTAGGGCAGCTTTTAGCACAGAAGATTTTAATTTTAACTATCTCTTTGCATCTTTGTGTGTCTCATTAGATTATGTACAACTTGAGGGCAGGGACTGTATCCCAAATAACTGCTAAGTTAAACAGAGTACTGCTAGTAGTGATTTAGTACAGTTTTCTCAGTGTGAATTTTTCTACTATTGTTGTCTTGAGAAGAATGAGTTTGAGATTAGGAACTTGGATTTTGGAGCCAAAAAACCCAGAGTTCCAAACCAAGTTCTGTCACTTGTTACCTGAATGACCTTAGGCAAGCTGCTTAACTATGCAGTACCTCAGTTTTCTCATTTGCAAAATGAGGACATGAATAGTAATTTACTTCAAGGAAGTTTTATGAGGATTATGTGAATATAATGCATAAATATTCATATATACATTTGTATATTGAACATATATTTAATGCCTACATTAAATATATTTGGTTCTCATCAATATGAATATATTCATAAGAATACACACATATAAATATATGCTCTCATATATAAGTTCTTCATAAGAAAAAATGTATATCTAAGATACACATATAAAATGTATCTATCTGTTACTTAGAACAGAGCCTGGTTGATGTTTACCGAACATTCACTAGATCTTGTTATAACTGTGTGTAGGCTATTATTTGTTGCTACCTGAGGAGTTTTAAAGAATAAAGCACAGATTTCTGTCTTGAATCTATAACATTATAATTTCAAAGTCTTATTTTAAACCTGGTTGGAAGCAGAGCTATTTATACAGGACCGCTGAAAGGACACAGCCATCCCTTCTGCTCCAGATTCCAAAGGCCACCCTTGAATCGGGCAGGGCTGTTAGTGAGTTGCCCTTTTACCGAGTTATGGCTTGGGATTGTGCCATCAGTTCGCACTGAGGAACTTTAAAGGAATAGCTGCTGGTGAGAGTTCAGCAGAGAGTTCTCTATGCAGGCAGTGGGTGAGAGCCAGGCTCTGGAGGCAGATGATGTGGATCCCAGTCCTGATCCTGCACCACGCGGCTGAGGAAGGAAAGCTCATCTGTACAAGGTGGATGAAAAGAATGGCAACAGGACCCAGCTCAGAGAACTGTTTCCAGAATAACACCAGACAGTGTTGTGTCAATGTCGTAGTTAAATGCCTGGCAAGTAGTACAGCCTATGCTGCATACCAGGATGCTGCTGGCTGTAGCATGAATGATCTCTTTATGAGCACCCTTAATTGCATTTCTCCGGCTTCAGGACCAGGAAAAGTATATCTTCTACAGAATTTGTCTGTTTATTTGGGCCATTTGAATCCAGAAATTTTGTTTTGTTTTCCCTTCTTCTCTGGCCTCTAGGAAGCTGTGAGCCCAAATTATGCTTTAACAGCTACAAATTAAAAGAGGGTGGTGTTTACTTCTATTTCACAATGAAAATGGTACCCAACAGTTATTGGATGCTTGCAACAGTAACTAGGTTAAATAATATTTCTTCTAAGCACTTGTTACTTACTTTAATCTGACAGCAGAATGAGAGAGATAATATCATTCACCTAAAATCTGAGGACACTGAGGCACCTCGCCCTCATGCTAGACCATTCCTGTACTCCTCTTCTGTTTTACTTGGTTTTCTTATCCTTTATTTTCCCTTTTCTAAGCATACTTTAGCAGGTCACCTCAAATTTCTGTAAGAACTAGGTGATGTGTCAGAGAAGAATTAAAACATATATTTACAGTCATATTACATTAACTTCTTGGGTTGCATATGTTATTTTTGACCGTATTTATGTATCGACCTCTTGTTTAAGAATGGCCTGTTTATATGAAGTAATTAATGAAGAAGGAAATATTTTGAACAAATAAATGAGTTCAGATTGTAAATTTATTAATCATTCATTGAACAATTGTAAGTGTGCCATTTCTTTCCCAGAAAACCCAAGAGTGATATTGAAAAATAAATTATTTCCAAAGTCTTTGACATCCAACAGTTTGGATGATATCGATACATCTTTGCTCATCCAGATCCTTAGAAATCCTATTGCCATTTGGGTATCTTGTGGTGAGCCATTTCAACCTCCAAATGGTAAGCTTTTTGTTTTTGCTTTCAAGCAAGTATATGAATGTGAGAAATAAAGTTTAGTCCATCATAAGAAAATGAATTAAATGTGTGTAATGTCAACATAATAGCATCACATTTATGCAAAGAACAGGAGATCCATCAATTATTGTGTGCATGAGAATAGCTATTGCACATTTGCTTGTTTCTTTTTACTAAAATGGAGTATTCTGCATGGAAAAAAATGTCTAATTTAGTTGATAAAGAGATCCTTGGTCTATGAGACTGAGAATAATGGTATACATTAGAAAATAACAAATGAGTTTAATTCACACTGAAGACGACCTGTCTGCACATTTTCATTTTTAAGAATTGCACCCTTTAGGCAGTAGGTGGATGTTTAAAAAATGAATGGTTCCAAGCCAGGCTTTCATCACCTCCAAATAGTTTGTGGAAGTGGAAAATGAAATATGGCCACTGCATATGGTAAATCTATATAATAAAACAGCACTGTTCTTCTCTCCCACACCCCGCCTTCATCCCACAAAGCAATGCCTTAAGCTCTGTCATCTTTCAAATTAGGTTTCTTTTAATGACCCTTACCTTTTAATTATTTGTTTCTAATTGAATCTCTTTCTTGGAGCAGAAACTTCTTTGTAAATTGCTGTGCATGATAAATTACTGTTGATAAAAGAATGCTAGATAAAATATCATGTATTTTTTCTTATTCTAGCTTTGCAGAAAGCAGAAACATTCGAGAAACAGATTTGGCTTAAAAAGGACAAAATTTTGGCTGATCTGGATTCCATGAAACACAAAATGAGACAGTTAAAAGGTCAGTATGAACTTAACCAAATATTACATGTTTAATTCTAAAGCTGACCTCAACTTATGATAGGTATTTTTTTTACCATTGGATACCAAGTATTTAAGCAATGAATACTATGGAATATTGTATTACAAAAATTATTTGAAGAAAGTCTAAGACCTAATAATATATATTTGTAGTACCAAAGCTATATTTGTAAATTCATATTAAAAGAAGAAATACCTCTTAATTATGTATATATATTAAAAAAAAAATAGGAGGATGTCTGGGCCAGATAATCACCCCATTGCTTTTGAATGAATACCTGAACTAACATTTATAGGCTTTGGACCTAGTCTTTAAATGAACTTGCTGTGGTATTTCTGTTTGTTTAATAGCCTGAGTGAGGAATCACTAAAATATTCAGTGTTGAATTTCAATCAATATCTCAAAAGGACTACCTCTCCTTTTTATTTTCATCTTAAAAATTATTTGAGAGATAGAGGGACAGAGACAGAGACACAGAGACAGAGAACACTCCCCTCCATTAGTTCATTCCCCAAATTCCCATAACAACCAGGGCTGAGCAGGGGCCGATGCTGGCAGCCAGAAGTTCATCCAGGTGTCCTACATGGGTGAGAGGAGGCCAAGTTCCTGGGCTGTCACTACTGTCTCCCAGGGTCTGCATTGACAGGAAGTTGGAGCTGGGAATCAAACCCAGGCACACAGATATGGGCTGTGGCCTTCTTAACCACAGGCTAAATGCCTGTTCCTCTGTTTTTATGCAACTATATGCTATTCATAGTCAAAGATCAGTTGGCATTATTTATCCTCATCTTCCATTGTTTTTGTTACGTAATCTTAGGTTCCTGACCTTATCCTATTTCCAGCATTTGAAATACAAGTGATTCTTTGGGGAGCAACAATGCACTATGGACTTTAGTCTGGGAAGAAATAATTTTCAAACTCTGAAACTGACATACAGAATTTCTTTTCCTAAGTGTGTGAACTGTGTTGCTTCAAAACCATATTACTTGGGGATGGCGTTGTGGTGTAGTGGGTAAAACTGCCACCTACATTGCTGGCATCCCATATGGATGCAGGTTCAAACCTCAGCTGCTCCACTTCTTGTTTATTTTTCTATCTTTTGTTTTTTTAGATAACTGGGTTGCATCTTTTTTTTTATTTGACAGATAGACATTGAGGGAAAGAGACAGAGAGAAAGGTCTTCCTTCCATTGTTTCACCCCACCATATGGCTGCTACAGCCGGAGCTAGGCTGATCTGAAGCCAGGAGCCAGGTATCTCTTCCTGCTCTCCCATGCCCAAGCACTTGGGCCATTCTGCAATGCCTTCCCGGGCCACAGCAGAGATCTAGACTGGAAGAAGAGCAACCAGGACTAGAACCTGGCGCTCATATAGGATGCTGGCACCGCAGGCAGAGGATTAACCAAGTGAGCCGTGGTGCCAGCCCCAGCTGCTCCGCTTCTGATCCAGCTCTCTGCTATGGCCTGGGATAGCAGTAGAAGATGGCCCAGGTGCTTTGGCCTCTGCACCCACATGGGAGACCGAAAAGAAGCTCCTGGATAGTGGCTTCTGATCGGCGCAGCTCTGGCTGTTGCAGCCATCTGGGGAGTGAACCAGCAAATGGAAGACCTCTCTGTCTGCCTCTGCCTCTGCTTCGCTGTAACTCTGCCTTTCAAATAAGTAAATAAATAAATAAATCTTTTTTTAAAAAAACATATTACTCTTGCTTTAATAAACAACAACTAGTCCTACATGCTTTGGACAGAACTCTGGTTTGAAATGGCTATTATTCAGTCTTTACCGAAAAGAGTGATTAGATGGAAGTGAAAAGCATCTATTACTACTACAAAGCACTTGCACTCCTGCTATTAGACATTTTCACTTGAATATCTCAGAGACGCGTCCACAATTACAGCTCTTATATCACCCCCATATCAAGAGTCTCCTCTGTTTCCCCTAGTAGTGGCTTCAACACCATCAACCCAGGTGCTGTCACATAAACCTGCAGTCATCGCTGGCATAGCTCTCTCCCTCTCCCTTTGCTCAAGCAAATAATCATTAACTCTGGTTACACTAAGTTTGGCAAGTTGATCTCAGATGAATTCTAACCATGTTAAGCTCCATCATTACACAAGTTCAAACCACCATCATCTATTCCTCTGATTACTGGAACCGTTTTCCAGTTTGTCTCCTTGTTCCCAGCCCTGATAGTAGTTTCTGTCCTCTGAAGAATGGTGACATTCTGGAGATGAAGTGATCACGTACAAGGGCAAGGTGCTATGTACTGCAGGCATAAAAGCATTTAAGGTTTCCTATTATCCCTGGGACGAAGTTGAGACATGTTAATATGGCTGTTCATGATCTGTTTCTCTGGAAGTTCATCTCTCCTTAAGTTCCTCTCTCCTTGCCCGCCAAAACCCATCAATCTGGCTTTTCTTTTAGTTGACAGACACACCATGAAGTTTCTTAACCCTGAGCTTTTGACTCAATTCCCCCGTCCCCAAGTTTTCTCTCTCCTATCCTCTTGGATCGCTCCTGACCATTCTGTATTTTTCAGCCTATTTGTTCACTTCTTCCTGGAAGCCTTCTTCAATATTCTGAACCTGAAAGTACCAAACTTCCCTTCAGAGAGCCCTCATCACATTATTATAATTACCTATACATGTGACTGAATCTCCTGTTAGATTATAAATTCTTTGTCTTTATTTTTCCTCTGAGTCATTGTAGAATGATTGAATAAAACAGTGACTGGAATTTTAACCATTCACTCCAGTGAATTTCCTAAACTCTACTTTTGTGTCAACTTAAATCCATAGACAGCAGCATACCAAAAATAGCACCTGGCGTAGCTGCTTTACTGCGTTCTTTACTGAATTAACATCATGTCTTCCGTTTCTATTACAACTGAGTACTAAAAAGGCATTTACAGTTAGCTGGCATCATTTACAATATCATTGTTGAAACCAGTATGTGTTTGGTCAGTTAATGTCCATTATGCAAGGATCTATAAATATAGTTTCTCTCATGATTTAGTGCTAGGATAAATCTTGTCTCTATTGGCAAACTGGCATGGTTTCTGCTATTAAATACAAATATTAGCATATGCTTATAAAACCCCTTTACCAGCTGTTGAGATTATGAGGATAAATAAGAACAACTCCTAGCTCAGCTAACCATAGTCCTCGCTAGATTGTTAGCTTCTTGAGGGTTGAGTGAAGGAAGAAGTACGGAAGGCATAAATGTTATTGAATAGATTATTTCTGACTATAGTAGCCATTTGTTAATGCAGCAAGTATTTATTGAGCAAATGCTATGTATAAAACACTGCTAAACTGATTTTACATTTCATTTTAAAATATGATCATTGCTAATATTGTGCCATTAATAGTTAATGTATAGGGCTTTTATGATTCAGTAAAAATACTTGCTCCTTGGTTTATGTATCATAAATACTCAATAAATATTGGTATAAAGAGTCCAGAGAAGGCAGCACTGTATACTTGGGGTCTTAAAACTGATAAATAAACTCAGAAGTGGCAGATCAAGCCAAAGTATCTCTTTTGTGACATACCAAGACAACACTGGAGCATTCATTTAGTGTGAAAGTTAAACAGATATGTCAACTGAAACCCAACATAGGGTGGACTTACCCTTCCAGATACAGATGTTACTGAGCCAGGGCAGGGCTCACAGTAAGGGAGGGTAAGGGGGAAAGTTGTCCAGGTGAGACTGATAGCATGAAAGAAAAGTAAGTACTCAGTTCTCTAGCTTCTAATAGAAAACAGTGTGCAAATGGACTAATAATCCTCGGCTTTTTTTTTTCAATTTCCCATCAGAGAAGTCATCTGCCATTGTTAGTGAGGCCTCATCCCCTTGAAATGAAACATTAGAAGTAGAGAAGAGGCATGCCCCATTTATAGTTAGCCATCACCATTATCTCCTGATCTCATGTGAAATAAAGTAGGATATATGGAAAATATAAGAAAATTTTAAAAGTTATTCAATACCTTTTGCTTAGTTTTAATTTATATTGTTCTTACCTATAATAATACTTTAGTTTGAAAGTCCTTTTCAAAACTAAAACCTTTTGTGATGATCTGATATCTCTTTATGAAAATTATGGTTAAATGCATTCATTTTCATTGTACCGTTAGAAGAAAGTTGACAAAAACAAATAATGTTTTTTTTTTTTACTGTTTTCTATGTTCAATCAATTCTTTCAACAGTGTAAGTCATAAACTATTGCTGAAATATCTTTAGCTGAACAGAATTTTGGAGCTCAGAATGCATTATAACTAAAATGTTTGTTGAAATATTACCCATAAATTTATGTGTCATATACTAATGTTATCTATAACCTGTGAATAGAGTTGAGTTAAAAGTGCATTTAGTGCAACTTTGTGTTAGATGCCTGTGGTCTTCTCCAAAGCGTGTTACCTAATGGCACTGTCACCATAACTCATTCACTGATTGATTCAATAATGTTTTCTCCACATCCATAAATTGCACATGAATGTTTATTATGTACAAAAGAATTTTGGTTTCTCTGAAAAGTCATTCCTACCACTTATTTTTTTGTTGTTGTATCTATTTCTTTAAACTTGAGTTACAAGAGCTAAGAGCCTTATTCTCTGGAAGTACTGAATTATTTTGAGTTTTGACTCAAACTAGTTTCAGGCTATGGTCTGAAAATCTGCACTGTAAGAGTATCTTGGCGGCCAGCGCCGCCGCTCACTAGGCTAATCCTCCACCTGCGGCGTCGGCACACCGGGTTCTAGTCCCAGTTGGGGCGCCAGATTCTGTCCCGGTTGCCCCTCTTCCAGGCCAGCTCTCTGCTGTGGCCAGGGAGTGCAGTGGAGGATGGCCCAAGTGCTTCGGCCCTGCACCCACATAGGAGACCAGGAGAAGCACCTGGCTCCTGGCTTTGGATCAGCGAGGTGCGCCGGCCGCAGCAGCTATTGGAGGGTGAACCAACGGTAAAAGGAAGACCTTTCTCTCTGTCTCTCTCTCTCTCACTGTCCACTCTGCCTGTCAAAAAAAAAAAAAAAAAAGTATCTTCGCAGCAACACTGAAAACAAAACTTTGTTTTCGTAGTGCTATTATTTAATCAACCCAAGTGTTGCTTTCTCAAAGAGGTTTTCTTTGACACCGTAGGCTAGGTCAGCAACTCCTGCTGCAGGTTCTTCTAGACCCAGTATTTCCCTGGCACAGCACCACTGCAATCAACAATCAGTGTGACCATTCCCTTGATACATCATACTGGAGGCAAGGATTTGCTTTCAGACACGTCTGCCTCTGCGTCATTCAGCACAAACCAGACCTAGAACTGGTGCCCAATATAGGTTTGTGGAAGGATTATACAAAAACAGCATTTTTTAAACTTAAGCTCTGAGATCAGTATGAGACCCAATGCTAGTATGTATTCAACACAGAAAAAGAAAATAATTTCATACATGTGACCTTAAATCTCTTTTATAATGATTCTAAGTGGTCTAGTTGAAAGAATACATACATCTGAATCACTGCACTTATTAAATTATGCCTGTGATTCTTCAGAATACAGTATTTCAATAAATATTTTCTCTTACCACAGCTTCTCAACAGTATAAAGGGCACAGAAGAGGTGTCAGAAACTAATCGTGCTTGCAGGGTATTATTAGTTAGGAAAAAAGAGCTTCTGTCTCTTGGGTTAATATTATTTTAGAAATACTTAATCCCCAGGCTGCTAAGCTAATTGTGGGGGAAAGGCTTATTATTAGTGAAAAGAACAAAACATATGTTCCAAGACTGGAAGAGATGATAGGGACTATATAAGGTCATGAATTCTATTTGACTAAATTACTACTGAACCGTATCATGGATGTGAGGCCAGGGCCAGGGTGGAAGTCAGCATGTTATCTTTCTTTTTCCATCTGTAGAATGAGGAGGAGTTTTCTAGCTATTTAAAGCCTGAAACTCTCATATGAAGAGTTATTGTTAGATGTTATTACCTTAGGCATCTTTGCTTTTATGATATATTTAGTATTTGGGCCTATGCTCTTGGGTGGAATAATTTATGCATAGAAAGCCAAACCAATTTATTTGAAATCTGAAGGCCCATCATCAGAAATAACATTTCCAGAGACTTCTTTCCCCAGGGCGCCGTGTAGCAGCATGTCAGCCAGCCACCATGATTCCCACCCAAAGCCCTGCGCAGCCAGTGGTGGTGGAAGGAGGATGGACTGAACAGACTCCAGAGGAAATTAAACTCATGGAACTTATAAGACATACAGAGGTACAGTCCTTTGGATGGCAGACTCTAAGGACTCTGCTTCTTTTTTAAGGGCTTAAAAGTATAATATTGAATTTTTAAATTATGCTACTAATATATTCTCAGCTTCTGGTCAGTTATGACCACATAAGCATATGCCAAGCATTGAGTTGGCATTTAGAGAGTAGCTATCTGAAAGACAGTCAGCTCATTTGAAAGTCTGTTTTGTTTGAATGGAGACCAGAAATTATGACCTTAGCCAAGAAGAGAAAAGGGCCCAGTGGATATGTGCAAAGGTAGTTATAATAAGTGTAGTCAAGTTGAGCCTTATGGCTTCATTGCTCATCACTCCTAAGGGTATGTCTCAAAGTGTAGAAAGAGCAAGGAGCAAAATACTAATTGCAGTGGAGACATTCAGAAGTGAGGAATTCAAAAAAGTGGCTTCAGCCCAATTGGTTAATCAGGATCGCCAGACATAAAAAAGTTGAAAAAAGAAAGGTCAGTTGTTGAGAGAGGACAGTAGAGACCAGGAAAAACTTTTAGCTTTGTGAGGTTTTTCATCGAAATGATATATATGTTCCTATTTCATAGTGTTTCTCAAATTTGTGAAATGTGTTCAGTCTACATCTTAGGCATTTGCCCAAATGAAGGTTATTAGAAAAAAGAAATTGACATCCCTAGAAATATTACTTCTTGCCAAGCTAAGAAGGATAAATCACTGACAGGGGATGAATGCAAAGCATTGATGCAGGGCATGCTTGAAGTAGGATGAAAAGCTGCCCAGCAGGGACCTGGCAAAGTATAAGGGTGGCTACTGTCTGTTAAAAGGCAGCAGGTAAGGACTCAAACAACACCCATGTACGCTCCCTTAAGCATTCCTTGGTTAAAGGAAATGATGTTGTGATTCTAATCAAAAACCTATTTAAGCCGGCGCCGTGGCTCAATAGGCTAATCCTCCACCTTGCGGCGCCGGCACACCGGGTTCTAGTCCCGGTTGGGGCGCCGGATTCTGTCCCGGTTGCCCCTCTTCCAGGCCAGCTCTCTGCTATGGCCAGGGAGTGCAGTGGAGGATGGCCCAGGTGCTTGGGCCCTGCACCCCATGGGAGACCAGGAAAAGCACCTGGCTCCTGGCTCCTGCCAGGATCAGCGCGGTGCGCCGGCTGCAGCGGCGGCCATTGAGGGTGAACCAGCGGCAAAGGAAGACCTTTCTCTCTCTGTCTCTCTCTCTCACTGTCCACTCTGCCTGTCAAAAAAAAAAAAAAAAAAAAAAAAAAAAAACCTATTTATTAGATGTGGAGAAATGGCGCAGCAGGAGAAGCACCATGCGGAATTCCAGAAACATTCTTTCTTCATTGCTCCAAATCATAGATGAACATCCAGTGCTTTGTCAAAATGAGTGTTTTTTTATTATTATTATTACTCTAATGATTGGTATTGCCTTAGTGTTTCATTGAAGCAAGGCAAGTTTACTGGAGTCAGGACAGGAGACACTAATGCACTCAATGGTTACTTCCTAAAATGTTTTTATATAATAATTACAAGAGATTTCTGACCTTCGTAGCATTCTTTGCACACACTCCACAGATAGTTCTCTAACCGTGGCATTGTCTGGGATTTTTCTTGACAGGCACACCTTTCTGAAGTCCAGGAACAACAGTCCAAAAGAAGCTTTCCAGTTGTGAGTAAACGTCTGGCGGTGAAGCGGAGCAGTCTGTACAAGCAACCCGACACAAAACGGGTCTGGACCTACCTAAACGGAAGCAGACCTGAGGACGGCACCTACGCCTGGGGGAAAACCATCTCAGAGGTACGTCTGGGGTGCAAGGACTAGCTCACGGGTCTGGGTTCAGATCTCCGCTCGGACATTTCTGTATCGGTAGGTCAGGAAGATGACTTCTCCGAGCTTCCTTTTCTCATGTGTGAAATGGGAATGTGCCTTTCCTCCTAGGGGTGACCTGATGTGTACAAGGGCTGGTGGTGGGAAAATGTGAAGCCCAGGGCTGTGCCGTATGTGTGAATCTGAATATGACATTTGGCCAGCAGAGAACAAAGCCAGTCAAACCTACCACAGCCAAATAGTGAAATCCAAGCTTTAAGATAATTCTCATCCTTTATTTTAAATCCAGTTCACAAAAGAGTAATTTTTCCCCTCATCATGAGCTGTTCACTAGATATGTTCTAGGTAAGAAAAGCAGCATTACTCATGAGAGAAGAATCTAGCAAATTCTTATTACCCAGAGTCGTGGAACTGGCAGAATTTCCACTTTGCAATGTTAAAACAGGAAAAGAAGAGCATCCGTTCTTATATTGCTTGCAATTTCAAGAGTATAATACTAAAATTTCATCTCTTGTCTTAATCTTTTTTTAAAAATGTATTTATTTATTTGAAAGACAGTCAGAGAAAGAGAGAGAGAGAGAGAGAAAGGTTTTCCACCTGCGGGTTCACTCCCTAAATGGCTGTAGCAGCTAGGTCTGCTAAGAGCCAGGAGCTTCATCCAGGTACATGTAAGTGTCAGGGGCCTAAGTACTTGGTTCATGTTCTGCTGCTTTTGCAGGCCATTAGCATGGAGCTGGATCAGAAGTGGAGCAGCTAGGACAGGAACCATTTCCCATATGGGATGCCGATGTCACAGACTGGCTTTACCCTCTACTGCACAACACTGGCCCCTTGTATTAATCTTTAAGTGAAAATTTTAGGCACTTAATAAGTGAATTTTGATAATCTTTAAAAAGTTATTTATTTATTATCCATATATTAATATATATGAAAAGCAGGGAGACCGAGTCAGAGGTAAACAGACAGACAGGCAGAGATCTTCCATCCACTGGTTCTCTCCTCAAATGCCCACAGTAGTCAAGACTGGGCCAGGGCCAAGCCGGGAACCAGGAACTCCAGCTGTGTCTCACATGGGTGGCAGGGAACCAAATACTTGAGCCATCATCTGCTGCCTGCCAGAGTGTACATTAGCAAGAAGCTGGAACTGGAAGCCTAGCCAGAACTTGAACCCAGGTACTCCTACATGGGGTGCATCTTAACTTCTGCACCAAATACACACCTGAGATTGTGATAGTCTTTTTTGAAAGTCATATCTATTACAATAGTACTTTGAATAGTAGTTTTTTACTTTGTAAATTTTTTTAAAGATTCATTTATTTATTTGAAAGTTGGAGTTAAGCAGAGAGAGAAAGAGGAGAGGCAGAGAGAGAGAGAGAGAGAGAGAGAGGTCTTTCATCCACTGGCTCACTCCCCAATTGGCCGCAACGGCTGGAGCTGCGCCAATCTGAAGCCAGTAGCCAGGAGCTTCTTCTGGGTCTCCCCCACAGGTGCAGGGGCCCAAGGGCTTGGGCCATCTTCTACTGCTCTTCCAGGCCATAGCAGAGAGCCAGATTAGAAGTGGGGCAACCAGGTCTCAAACCGGCGCCCATTTGGGATGCCAGTACTGCAGGTAGCGGCTTTACCTGCTACGTCACAGCACTGGCCCCAAAATGTTTTGTGACAAGAGAAAATCACACAGAGGTAGCATGTTGATGGGGACAGTAGAAAGTGAAGGTGGTGGGATAGACTAGCCTCGTTCATAGAGCTGGTAAGGACACCGAGGAGTGGCAGGGTATCTCCTGAATTCTGCACCTGGAGATTGATCCAGGTTCAAGGTGTGGGAGAGACCTTTCCTCTTTGGCAGGGACTTTGAGTAAGAACTGTGAAAACAACTGCATCTCATAAATTGACAATCAGTTTGCTACACTGGGGAAAATAAGAGGTAAAAATGTGGAAATTGTATTCTCAAAACTAGGAATACAATAAAGGACCTTCATACATGGGGAAAAAAACAAACTTGTTTGTGTGTTTGTTTTTAAAGATACTGAAGTCTTTTTCAGAAGAGAACATCCTAGGAAAGCTTTGATTTAAGTGACTTCCAGTGTCGCATATAAAAAGCATTCTATGGAGCCAGCACCGTGGCACACTGGGTTAATCCTCTGCCTGCTGTGCCAGAATCCCATATGGGTGCTGGTTCTAGTCCCGGTTGCTCCTCTTCTAGTCCAGATATCTGCTATGGCCTAAGATAGCAGTAGAAAATGGCCCAAGTACTTGGGCCCCTGCACCCACATGGGAGACCAAGAAGAAGCACCTGGCTCCTGGCTTCGGATCAGCACAGCTCCAGCCGTTGAGGCCATTTGGGGAGTGAACCAATGGAAGGAACACCTTTCCCTCTATCTGTCTCTCTCGCTGTCTGTAACTGTACCTGACAAATAAATAAAATCTTTTAAAAAAAGGCATTCTATGACTGTTGTTCCATATCATTCAATTTTTATAAATTTTGTATATGAGGAACACTGTTCTGGATACTGTGAAATATTTTTCTAAGTTACATATGTGAAAAGATTTTAGTAACTTAATAGTGCTGTGTAATTGACAGGTTAATATCAACTGTGATGGTAGCAGTAGGTGAAATAAAGTAACATATGGTCTGTGCTCTCATTAGATTAACATTTCAAGTTGGAAAAATTTTTAAAAACGTATCCTTGTTTCACTTGGGTGTATAAAGAGATGGGCATCCTCACGCTGATGGAAGTATAATCCTTTGTAAGATAGTTTGTCGGTACATCTTGTAAACAATGCACTTTTATATCTTAGTCCCCCAGGGCATTTTGATGAATTTAGGATTGTTTGTTAAGAATCGTCGTCACAGGACTATTTATAAAAACAGACAGATTTAAAATAATTTTAAAAACTCATGAATTGGGACTTGGTTAAATGAATTATAACACATATGCTAGAATTTTACACTTTTATGGCTGGCATTCGGTGCATTGGTTAAGATGCTACTCGGGATGTTTGCATCGCATATTGGGGTGCCTGGCTTTGAGTCGCAGATCCTCCACTTCCAATCAAACTTCCTGCTAATGCACACCCCTGGGAGTCAGCAGACGATGGCTCAAATACTCTGGCCCCTGCCACCCACGTGAGAGACCTGGCTTTGACCTGGCCCACTCCTCACTGTGAGGTCATTCAGAGAGTTAACAGACACATGGAAGATTTTTCCATCTCTCTGTATCTATGCCTTTAAAATAAAGTGAACAAAAATATAAACCAACTTCTAGAAAAAATAATGATAATAAAGACATTCAAAATCTACTAAGTGAAAGAAGCATAATATAAAACATGGAGCGTTAGAGTCTATACATGTACATGCAGATACACTGGCGAAAACACTGGAAGAATATTATTGTTAAATATTTTTGAGTGGTCATCTTACAAGGGACCTCTGTTTTTCTTTCTTGTATGTTTTTCTATTTGTTGCATATTTGTTATTCTTCTTAAGAAAGACTTACCTGATAAGCAAGCTGATGTTCCTCTTAGAGAAAGACTAACATAATGTGCTGAAGATCAGATCAATTGTACAGGCAGGAAGTTCGATAGGAGTTTAGAAGATGAGAGCACTCTGTCCCCCAGAGGTGAGTGACAAGGCATTTCAGAGCAATCAATAAGGACCTCCTTTGGAGCTTGAGAAATGTGTAAGATTCAACATCTCAGGCAGAAAAAGTATTACCGAGGATGAGGGACGCCACACACACAGGAGGTAAAATTCATAAAGTGCATTAAATAGATGATCCTTGGCCTGAGAAGTAGGGAGAGATCTATGAATGGGGAGATGATTTAAAAGTATGTGGTAGACCCCGCATATTGCATGTATTATTTTACTCAAGCAGCCGTCAAATAGGACAGACCGCTTGACCTAAGCAACAGGAATGTATTTTATCACGGTTTTGGAGGTGCAATGTCCAAGATCAAGGTGCCAGCACTGATTTCCAGGGGGGCACCCTTTCTGGCCTGCTGGTGACTCTTTTCACTGTCCTCACATCACCTCTTCATGGAGAGAGAAGGGCTCTAGTGTCTCTTCCTCACCTCACAAGGAAACCAGGCCTATTGGATTAGGGCCCTGTGCCTATCGCCTCACTTAAGCTTAACCATCACCTTACATGCCTTATCTTCAACCATTGTCACAATGGTTAGGGCTTCAGTAAGAATTTGAGGAAGGCCCCCAGCATCGTGGCGTGACTGGTTAAGTCACGGCCTGCAGCTGCCACAGGCCTCTCGTATGGGTGCCGGTTTGAGTCCCAGCTGTTCCACATCAGATCCAGCTCCCCACCAATGTGCCTGGGAAAGCATTGGAAGATGGCCCAAGTCCTTGGGTCCCTGCACCCACGAGGGAGACTGGCATGAAGCTCCTGGCTCCTGGCTCCTGGCTCTTGACTTTGGCCTTTCCTAGCCCCAGCCCCAGCCCCAGCCCCAGCCGTGTGATCACTTAGGGAGTGAATCAGCAGTTGGAAGATCTCTGTCTTTCCCTTTCTCTCTCTGTAACTTTGCCTTTCAAATAAATAAAATAAATCTTAAAAATAAAAAAAAAGAATTTGAGGAGACACAAATCAGTCCATAACACTATCCCAGACTAGAGTACTAGAACCATTAGTTGCTTCTGAATAAAGAAATGGAATGGTGAAAGCAATGCTTTGGGAAGACTAATGTAGGTCTTGTATTTAGAAATTACCGTAGAATTTCCAGGAATTTTTCTGTGTATTCTTTCTTTCTTTGTTGTATTTTTTAAAGTTATTTTTGATCTCTCCCTTTTCCTTTTCCAAGCTGAGTATTTTTGTCTACAGGGGCCTGTGTGAGATTCTCTGTGATCAGTTCGAAATGTATCCCTTCAGGCTCTCAGACTGTCAAGAATTCCTCACAAGACGGGACCATGTAGAACAAACAGGCTGCAGGCAGGACAGGGTATAGATTTCACTGGGGCAGTCTGCCTACAGACACTAGCTCCAAAGGAGTCAGGGTTTCAGTGGTTGGTACATTTACTGGAAGAATGACAAACACCACATTTCAAAATGCTTCACTCTATCTCCTATAATGAAACCCCCAGATGGTATTCAAACGCCAGCCAGTGCGGGCTTTTCTCAAGTGCTTTTGCTGCTGTGGCTATTCTGGGTGATTTAACCACGTTTTCTCCCACCCACCCTTTGAACATTGCCAGAGCAGCTCTCATCTCCAACTGGTGTCAGCTCATCAGTCATCCATGCACAGGCAGCTCTTTGCCCAGGGTTAGTGGCTCTTTCTTCGAGACCAATATCTTTCTCTGATTTATGATTACCCACACCCCTCCTTACATAGATGAAAGCATTTGTTTTGTCCCATCCTTGCAACGTCTCTGATTCTACAGAATCTCAGAATCAGTATGTTATTGCTCAGTCTAGAAGCAGTTCTGCATACATGAGCGAAACCGGAAGAATGAGAAACAGCCCATTTCAATTTGGATAGGCAAAGACCTCTGACAGGGGGTGCACAACCGTCCCATGATGCCAAGACATGAGAACTAAACTCTCAACGTAAGCTGTGGATGAGGAATTGTTCACAGAACATTGTTCCTTTATCAGAAACTTGGAACAAAAATTCAACTTTAACACCTATTCTAAATAAGATTCTTGAGTTAATTTAGAATACATTTGAAAACTGAGAATTAAAATGTCTTTGAGGTCATAAATTGATTATATATTTTAGAACTTAATTGTACGGAAAAATGCCTTATTTCCACATATATTTTCAAATGGTTTTGTAAACTCATTGACTTTGTCTCATGTAAATAGGTTGTTGTAAAAACCAAGTAAATACCCATAGGTTAAATTTCCATTTTGCCCTTAGTATATATTTCCAGATTAAATTGCATTTATTTTTCTGATTATAAATAGAAAGCATGATCCCTATAGAACAGTAATATTTTCATGGTAAAGTAAGGAAAAATATAAGAATTATCTCTTAGTAGGCTCTTTTCAAACTATGCAAATTTCTTCCAGATACCCATAGATAATTCTAAGGCAGCTCCCCATTGCCCCCAGCCCAGAGAGAAACTCAACTTAAATACCCTTTGGTGAGGCTACTATTGAATTGAATTCAATTCGTTCATCCTTTGCTCAGAATACATGGTGAAAACTGCACTCTTCGAAATTGCATTGCCCTATTACTCTTCTTGTCTTGCTTCTTAGTACTAATTCATTTTCCAGATGCAGGGTGCCATGGCTTGCCCCATTCTGCCACCTGCCATGCTGCATTGTTGTGAGTTGTAGACCCTTAAAAGGTCTATAAACAGAAGTATTGATGGAGGTTTGGGGGTTGGTGTAGACCTGCTTCCTGCATTTTGAAGGAACAGATTTCTGACCCCCCGAGAGGTGAAAGTCATGCAGACAGAATTGCAGAAACATCTCGCTTTCTTCCTGCTTGCTTATATGAGGCCCTTTGTGGAGCGAACCAGTGGAAGGAAGACTTCCTCTCTGTCTCCCTCTCTCTGTAACTCTGCCTCTCAGATAAATAAATAAAATCTTTGAAAACAACCTATTCACATAGTCTTAGAGTTGTTTTCACATTTTTAAAAGATTTATTTTAATTATTTTAAAGGCAGAGTTACAGAGAGAGGTAGAGACAGAGAGAGGGAAGTCTTCTATATGCTGGTTCACTCCCCAAATGGCCACCATGGCTAGAGCACAGCTGATCCAGAGCCAGGAGCCTGGAGCTTCTTCCAGGTCTCCCAAATGGGTGCAGGGGCCCAAGGACTTGGGCCATGCTCCACTGCTTTCCCAGGTGCATTAGCAGGGAGGTGAATTGGAAATGGAGCAGCTAGGACTTAAACTGGTGCCCATATTGAATGCCGATGCTGCAAGCCAGAGTTTCAACCCACTGTGCTGCAGCGCCAGCCTCTATTTTCATTCTTATTTATTTATTTATTTATTTTGACAGGCAGAGTCAGACAGTGAGAGAGAGAGAGACAGAGAGAAAAGTCTTCCTTTTGTTGGTTTGGCCCCAAATGGCCGCTACGGCTGGCGCACTGCACTGATCCGAAGCCAGGAGCCAGCTGCTTCCTCCTGGCCTCCCATGTGGGTGCAGGGCCCAGCACTTGGGCCATCCTCCACTACCTTTCCGGGCTGGACTGGAAGAGATGCAACCGGACAGAATCCGGCGCCCCAACCGGGACTAGAACCTGGGGTCCCGGCACCGCAGGCGGAGGATTAGCCTAGTGAGCCACAGCGCCAGCCGCTATTTTCATTCTTTAACAGAATTACCCTCAGGGTTATGCAACGTGTTGGCTAATGTTGCTAATATTATTGATGTTTTGCAACTGTATGTGTATTTTCATAATATTTCAAGGAAAATTTTATGAATATTTCAAGAAAAATTGAAACATCCTTCTAGAACTTTTTTTAATTTATCAATTAAGTACAAAGGCTTTCTCTTTTAAAAGATTGGTTTATTTATTTGCAAGGCAGAACATCAGAGAGAGGGAGTCAGAGAGAGGGTGTGTGTTTCCATCCACTGGTTCACTCCCAAAATGGCTGCAAAAACCTGGGCTGGACCAGGCTGAAGCCAGGAGCAAGGAATTTTACATGGATCTCCAATATGGGTGGCAATGCCCCAAGCACTTAGGCCATCCTCTGCTGCTTTCCCAGGAGCATTAGCAGGGAGCTAGATTGGAAGTGGAGCAGCCGGGACTTAAATCAGTGCACATATGGGATACCAGTGCTGTAGACCAGGGCTTTAACCCACTGCACCACAACGCCAATCCCAGTTCATCATTTTTTAAGCACCTTTAGGGAACATTTGTATACCCCTCTTCCCATCCCTTATATATCTATTTCTATGTTATTTTTTAAAAGATTTATTTATTTATTTGAAAGTCAGAGAGAGAAGGAGAGGCAGAGAGCGAGAGAGAGAGGTATTCTGTCCACTGGTTCACTCCCCAAATGGCCTCAATGACTGGAGCCTCTTCTGGGTCTCCCACATGAGTGCAGGGGCCCAAGGACTTGGGCCATCTTCTACTGCTTTCCCAGGCCATAGCAGAGAGCTGGATCGGAAGTGGAGCAGCCAGGTCTCGAACTGGTGCCTACATGGGATGCTGGCACTGGAGGCGGCGGCTTTACCCACCACGCCACAGCTCCTGCTCCACTATTTCTAAGTTATAAGTGAGTAACTATTCAAATCAGGATACTAGTTCTCCTCAAAGAGCAGAGTCCTTAGTACCTAACCACCTGGTGGCATCCCATGTTCAAACATGGCTATCTCTTTGTGTTGCAGCTGTTGGAGAATTGTTCCTCTCGTCTCAAAATGGCCCACCCAGCCAGAGCACTGTATACTCCAGATGGAAAGCTCATTGAGTCATGGGATGATGTAGAACGAGACATGGTCATCTGTGTGGCCACAGGACATGACTTTGTAACCCAAAAAGGTACAGGTTATTTTTGAAGAATTAAAGCGTTCAGTCTTTTCTTCAAAGAGCTTACTTTACTGAATGTTATAACCTGTCATAGTGATTTTGTTGTTGATTGAATGATTTGATTTGAAAGGCAGAGAAAGAAAGAGAGAGGGAGATTTTCCATGTTCTGGCTCATGCTCCAAATGCCTAAAGCAGCCAAGGCCAGCCCAGATCGAAGTTCGGAGCCCAAGTCTCCCATGTGAGTGGTAGGGACCCAAGTATTTGAGCTGTCACTTGCTGCCTCCCAAGGTGCACAGTAGCAGGAAGCAGGATTGGGAGCAGACCTGAGACTTTAGAGAGGTTATCCTATATGAAATGCAGATATCACAACCCTAAGCCAAACACCTGCCCCTAATCTTGAATAATTATCCTCTTTTATGCCATTTACTCTACACTGGGAAAATTAAAATTATGTGCTGGAACCTCATTATTAGTAATGTTTAAAGAATCCCATCAAATCTCAGTTACCATGATTTCTTACCCTGGGGTTTATTTGCAGAAGTGGTAGGAGGGCCTCATCTGAAGGCATTCCCTTAGAATGAACCCTGATGAAAGTGAGGCTCCACTGACTTCCTACTTTATTTTATTAATAGTAGTTACATAGCTGGAAAATTTCTGATCTTTAACAATAAGTACTTATATTCTAGTTGTATATCCTGTCCTTTGATCATTTTCTTTGGTAAATGACAGAAATTGAAACGAGAATATATTTGCTATTCAGTGAATGCTTGTCCTGTTTCCAATTTATCTTGAGAGATTTAAGGCCTCATTGTGTAGCTGGGTCTACATTAGCAGAGACATAATTCTCAGGAAATTCTGAAAAATATTGTTATCATTTTAAAGGAGATTAAACAATAAGGAAGTAAGTTACCTGACATTGTGAAAAAAACCAGAGTTGTCCTTTTAGAAAACTCACCATAAAATTGTCAATGCTGTGTTTATGCAAGGTAGATAAGCCAAACATTTTGTAAATTTGCAATCATGTCTTTCCATTTACTTCAGAAGTACAAGAGAAGAGAAATGAAGACCAAAAGGTAGAGAGACAAAGATTTATTGGGATGCCTTGCCTAGCATTGAGGAGTGCCACAAAGATTCCTCCTGTATCACCCTTCACTATGGAAGAAGCCCCACTCTTCATATTCTTTGAATTCTGCTGTTCACATCATCTACCACTACCCATAACCCCAGAGCTTGGTGACCGTCACTGTGTGGTCGCTTACAAAAATAAGAGTGAAGTTCTTATAATCAGTTTAAGCGACAACTTTCTACATTACCAAAATGCAGAGTCTATAGAAGAAGTATGTCAGCCTTCCTTTCCTGGAAAAAAAATCAATCTAATTAAGAATGTGAACATATTTGATATGATTAAGCACAATTGAATAGCAAGCAAACATAGTATGGTAGAAGGCACGTTCCCAGTTCCCTAGTTGGGCTTAATCTTTCATATGCCTGGGACTGGCTCCTGCACATACCCTACCCTCCTTCCCACATTGTGTTCACTGGGCTTGCCTGATGCATAAAGCTACGTATGCTTCAGACAAGCTAGCCAAAAGGGTTCCGAACCTCAGAGAGAAATGCTTCCCAGAAGCAAGCCTGTCATCAATAAAAACTGTGCAGGTAGGACAGAAAAATGGGAAATATAAATAGTAGACTTGACCACTTTCCTCCATGTTAGTTACGGGAACCTCAGGCAAGATTATGTAGACAAAGTTTCATTTTTGCATCTTCGCTTTCAAAGACACATGGATTACGCTCATGTAAAAGTTAATTCCTTCCCTATGCAAGTAGGTTGTTCATTTTCTTTTCTTTTTTTGCTTTTTTTAAGATTTATTTTTATTTATTTGAAAGAGAGTCACAGAGAGAGGTAGACAGAGAGGTCTTCATCCGCTGGTTCACTCCCCATATGGCTGCAATGGCCGGAGCTGCGCTGATCTGAAGTCAGGAGCCAGGAGCTTCCTCCAGGTCTCCCATGTGGGTGCAGGGGCCCAAGGACTTGGGCCATGTTATACTGCTTTCCAAGGCCATAGCAGAGAGCTGGATCGGAAGAGGAACAGCCGGGACGAGAACTGGCACCCATATGGATGCCGGAGCTTCAGGCCAGGGCTTTAACCTGCTGCACCACACTGCTGGCCCCTCTCATAACACTTTCATGTTGGAAGAATTACGAAAGGGTCTAATTGTTCTTCAGAAACTCTTTTTTACTGGTTTCATTTTGTTGTTTTTTTTTTTTCTTAAAATAATTGTGAGAAATAATTAGCTGGAATTTAGATATACAGAATAGTTTTAAAAAGAGAGATATTCCACTACATATATGTACTTATTAAGTAACTTTAAATCAATCATTTCACTTGTGATTTCTCTGTGACCTATTGGCTTAGCTATGTAGTAAAAGAATGCAAAGACAGCCTATGAGTTTCAAAACTAAACACTCTGTAAGAACTGACTTTCTGTGCTATAATGTCAAAAAACATTTAGCAGGTAGAAGTTAGTTATCAAATAATCACACTAGGTTTTTGAAGAATGAATTTGATTCAGCAAAAACAAAGCAGATGCCATTTGAATGATTCCTTTCACACAAAGCCCCAACAGTTAAACGAGTGCTTTATGCTGCTTGCCATAAAATTTGAACACCATTATCATGGCTATGGCTTCCATCTTTCCAGTAGATCCAAGTTAGCTTCCAGTTCAGCCTTCATAAAATGCCTAGGAGGAAGCCCTGCGTAACAACCTCCATTTTTAAGAAACCAGGAGAATGCTAATACAGTCTGATGCGGTAAGGAAGTGAAGTGTGTAATGAGAGCCCCGTGTGGGAGTCAAGGATTTCTGCAGGATCTTGAAGGTTTTCATCATCCTGAACTCATTTTTTTTTCTTTGACAAATACTCTGACTTCTCTCTTAAAATATTTTTTTAAACAGAGTTAAAGCGACTGACAGAGATCAGAGCAAATTATGCCAGAATCCGAAGGCAGCAGGGCCCTCACGCCACAGACGTTGTGGCATCACCATCCTGCACACCCCTGTCTCTGGCCCAGCTCTACAGCTGACTCCATCAGAACCGTCGCGCTGTGCCCTGGATTCCTCTGGTATCACCATGTGTACATGTTCACATGTTTGTTATGTGTGATGATTATTCAGCCCCCTGTCATTTCATGCAGTCTGTTTTAAGGTTATTACCTTCCGCATTTTGTGTAAAGTGGAATACTTCCTCTGGATCTGCTCCTGGAAAGGCAAGAAAACTAGGTGAAAAATGTGGGTGAAATGACTGTTTTAGTATTATTTTCTTCCAGGAGAAAAAAACAACTACTAATTACTGAACTATAATTCAGCAAGGTCAAATGCTTTGTTTATGTATTTTATATATATATATATGTATATATATTCATACATATATATAAACGATAAATAATTTGATACATAAATTAGACTCTTTGGCCACCTAACACTAAATTTGACCCCATCTGACATTTTCTCTCTTACTCACCATATTTTCCAAATTTCCATGTTAAAATCCTTCATTTACTGAATAAAAATGAAGTGGCTGGTAGCCACAGAATACCACATGAATTAGTCTTTCCTTCTCGACTTTCTCTTCAGGTTTGCTTTAGTAACAGTGAGGACAGTTTGTGGGACACAGTTAGGCATTGTTCGGGAGAGGGAAGCTGGATAATTCTTGATATGTGACATAGATGGTGTCGTTAATACAAAATCTTAGAGAGAGAAAGCCTACGTGCCTGATTTGAAAGAAAAATCAGGTAAAGGTTGTTTTTCAAAAAGGGATTGAAGAAGATCCTTAACTGTCTTAGGTAACAATCCTATAGGACAAGAAGCATTTCTACTCATTAATTTTTTTTCTGGAGAAAAAGAAAGAAAACCTTTTTTTTAATGGCAGTGAAAAATCAGTTAGATTTCTGTTCCTGGTGGAAATTTTCCAAAGTAATGTTCTTCCTCCCTCTCTTCCTCTGAAAGCCACTCATAGCTGCCTCTGAATATAAATTGCAACCTGGCTAGGTGTATACAGAATGGCTCAGCTGGGCTCACTCCTCAATCCTGCACTTTAATATGATGTAGGAAGGCAATATATCATTTGTACTGAAGGGGGCTCTTGCTAATCACTGCAAAAGGCCTAGCATTTACTCCCAGTCTGCAAATCAGTGAGGCTACATGAATAAGTTCCTGCCATCTCCAACGCCAGTAGATGCAAAGCACATTGAGGTGAAATTTCACATGTTACATCAACAACAACTTGCCCTTTTACAGACATCCCCTCTGTGTTGCGTGATGCTGGAGATGTGAAGATATTCAAAAGCAGCTTTGTGCCACATGGGAGACAAAGACTGCGTGTGACTCGTATTTTGATATGCTTTTTGCAACAAGAAAATCAAAGCAAGAAGGGTTAAGGACTTTGCCCCCAGCTGGAAAGTGAGCTACCAGGACTCTTCAGCCAGCGGGGCCTCTCCTTAGAATGTCTTGATCACAATCCCCATCAAGATAACTTCTTAAATTCAAAATTCTGTGAAAACAAAAGCAATTCTTTAGGTACAAAAGTACCCATCATTTTGCTGCCAGGGAAAAGTTGATTTGCTATGAAAGTGGCGTCATTTCACCCTAGATCAAATGTGCAAATTCTTGTAAGTCTTCGCTGTTGCATGTGAATATGCCTGAAGCGAAAATTGGTATTATCACACAATGCTATATCAAGCACCAGGAGACATAAGGCAAAATCTTCACTGAACTTTTCTATTACTAATAAATGGGATTTTAGGTGTAATATAACAGTCATCAACACATCACATGTTACCAGCAAGGAAGCAACACTTACTTGGTAGACGACAGCTTGCCCAGGGTGTCCGCAATTCACAGCCACTTGTAACTTAGGCTAAGAATAGCCCAGCTCTTTCCTCACTACTAACTTTTCTCTTTGGATGGCTGAAATGTGGACTAGGGAGCAGTTACTCCACCTTCAGCAAGGACTATAGGACAAGACTGTTCCAATTCTGTTCAGCCCTCCTAGGCTTCTAATAAACCCAGTAATTTCCTCTGGAGATATGTTTATCAAGTTTGAATCAGATTCATATAGATGTGTATATATATATATGTCAGATTTCAATATTTTTCTATTAACTGAAAACCATTTATTATTAAATACTACAACAAGCATCCCCAAGTCTGTGGCTTTCTCCAGAAACTTATTTCCTGCTGGTTCACAAACACCCTTAAGGTGATCCAGATGTTAATCAACAGTGTACCAGTGAGAACTGGAGTTTTCTGTCCACCTCTAGCTTTTGTGGCCAGTTTGGGGTAACGTTGCATGAAAGCAAGCTAACAAAAAGCCATATGCCTGAAAGTTTGACAAAATTTTGATTAACTGACAGTAAACACAAGGGACACTTTATTGTGTACTGCTATCTGCTTTGTGAAACAGGATACATCAGTCAAGAATCACAAGGCAAAGGTAGCTTTTTCAAGCCAATAACATTAAATTCTTTCTCTCTTTTTTTAAATATGTATTTATTTATTTGAAAGGCAGAGGTACAGAGAGGCAGAAGCAGAGAGAAAGAGCAGTCCTCCCTCCATTGGCTCACTCTCCAAATGACCGTAAAGGCCAAAGCTGGGCAGATCCAAAGCCAGGAGCCAGTAGATTCTTTTACATTTTCCACGTGGGTGCAGGGGCCTAAGGACTTGGGTCATCTTCTGCTGCTTTCCCAGGCGCATTAGCAGAGAGCTGTATTGGAAGTGGAACAGCAGGGACTTGAAAAGATGCCCATATGGGATGCTGGCACCGCTGGCAGTGGCTTTACCCGCTGTGGCTTTACCCTCTATGCCATAGCATCGGCCCCTCTTTTTTTTTTTTTTTTCTTGATTGTTCATAATAGCTAAGCACCATTTTGTGAATCAAGAAAACATAACAAAAAATAATAACAGAAAGGATGCATTTATTCTCTTTTGCCGCCGAATCACTTACAAATTGTGGCTAGTATCTGCAGCAGCATTTGTGAGCTAATCTTCAATCACAGCCCAGGTGTGCTGAGCATCATTGAGAGATTCGTGATTCACCAACACAGCATTTGTTTTTTGGCATCATTTGGAAGGAAATGATCAAAACACACAAATGTCTGTTATTCTAGAGTGTCACAAAGTGAAATGCCAATGTTCTCAGTTAAATGGAATTTGGGGCTCAATGGTGGCTTTCAGTTGTTTTCATTAAATAGATGATTCCAGTGCCATCTTGACTTCCTCCACCTCTGTGCTAGGGCTGGGTAAGCAGAAAGAAAGAGCAGCAGTTTTGTTTTCAACACAGGAAATTAGAATTCTGCATAAATGGCACTGTTCGGGGCTGTGGGGTCATAAGCCACTGTAGAGCAAGATCAACAAAGACCACTCAGGTGAGTGCTGCTGAAAGTGAATGGATTCATCATGGAATGGTGGGAATTCAGTAGGTGCCTGCTGCTAGCTAAAATAGTTTCTAATTCTGTGACACTACAGTGTGAAACTACTATCAATAGGCTGTCACTGTGCACCATAAATGCAAATAAAAACATGTGGGGAGAGAGGAAGAGCTATGGTACCCCTGGGTTGGAGGAAGAAAGGAGGCAGGAAATCATATTTATAGGGCAACTGAAATGACATTTTGAACTGGGTATGCTGCCACTGGTTGTGTGTTATGTTCCTCTGCCAGCTGGGAGCAGGTAGAAGGGTTGGTCAAGCTGAAGAACCCACTAGGTTCTACCCTGACACTTTAAAGCAGAAGTTGCACACTTGGGAGTTGATATTAGTGTTTTGGCCCCAGTGTATCAGGAAATGCCAGCACCTGTGTTTTAAAGAAAATTGACCAAAACATGCTGCCTTTTTTTAAAGATTTATTTATTTATTTGAAAGGCAGAGTTACTGTGGGGAGCAATCTGGACTAGACTGAGTTACTGGAATTAAGACTTATTCTATGCGTCTGCTCTCCCACAATATGGCGCTGGGAGAGAAGTAAACAGCTTCTGCACAGCTGCCTCCAGTTCAACCAATAAACTGTAGGACTTGCTCCTGATTGGAGGAGAGCAGCGTACTCGGCGTGTGGGCAGCCAAGTTGGGATTGGTGGAGGAGGACTATAAAGGAGGAGAGAGACGGCATGCACGGGGGAACATCTAAGGGGAACATCTGAGGGAACACCTGTGCAGCCCCCGAGACGAGCCGGCTGGCGGTGTGCCGCTCCCCTGCGGAAGTGGGGAATGTGGCCAGGGGGAACTGCCCTTCCACGGAGGTGGAAGGGATAGTAGCCAACCCGGGAAGAACCAGCAGCAAACCCGGGGAGGGCCGAGCAGACGAGAGAACAGCGCAGGGTCTTGTGTCGTTCCTCCACGAAGAGGGGGAGCGACAGTTACAGAGAGGCAGAGGTGAGGTCTTCCATCCACTGGTTCACTCCCCAAATGGCTGCAACAGCCAGAGCTGAGTTGATCTGAAGCCAGGAGCCTGGAGCTTAGTCCAGCTCTCCCACGCAAGTACAGGGGCCCAAGTACTTGGGCCATCTTCTACTGCTTTCCAAGGCCATAGCAGAGAGCTGAATCAGAAGTGGAGCAGTTGGGACTTGAACCGGTGCCCCTATGGGATGCCAGCACTGCAGGCAGCCACTTTACCTGCTGCGCCACAGCACTAGCCCTGAGCATGCTGTCTTGAAATAACCTTCAGACTGTGCTGGGGAGAGGTGGAGGAGAGGTGGGAACCTCTCAAGACTTTTAGGTTAGTGACCCCAAAGTTATAAGACTAGATGCTGTCTCTCTTAATTCATGTTTTTCCCCTCTTCCCTCCTTCCCTCTTTCTCCCTTGCCTCTTGGCCTTTTCTCCTGTAAGAGCCTTTAAATCCTACTTTCATTGGAAACCAACCAAACAAAACTTTTCCTGG